CATTTTCTCTTTCTAAATGAACGTGTTATCTTATGACAATACTTATCATGCAAACATTTATACTAGTCACCTTTAACTATGTAATTAATCCTTTCTCCAGCATGTAAATATCACACCATTCTTTTCCGTTGTAAAATTACATGTATGAAATCCACGATTTTCACGTGCATGGACCCACCAACTCTCCCTACCAAAAGAAACTAAATAATCTTTGTAAAGGTCACTCAGTTGATCCTAATAGTTTATAATAAAATATATATTTGCGCAAAGAACTCGTTGATAGTAAAATACAATTGATTATACCCTTATTGTTTATGTGTAACGAACTATTTCAAATTATTTTGCAAATGATAAGCGTACCATGCTTCATAAGGATTTACACACTTATTGACTAATAAAAATACGCTTAAACGTGCCGTGATTAAGCACAAAACACACTGGCAGAAACAAAAGTTATCATAAGAACTCCAGGACATATTTTGAGTTATCGCAAGAACTCCGTAACATTTGAAAAGTCGGGTATAAATTTATTAGCCCGGGCTTTATGTTTGCATCTCTCCATAATTATTAGGTAATTAAGTATAGCAACGAAGAAGATCACAAATGAAAAGGTCAATATGTACGAATTAGCAAGTAATTTGGTAATTTTTCTCAAAACTACCAGATTTTTTTTAAAAGGCGACAAAATATGGACTTAACGATTTTTTCTGAAACAAAATACAATATGTAGGGCAAGCTTAATTATCAAAGTTTCATTTAGCTCCTCAAACTCCCCATTTAAAGTTAAAAATAACCATTTTTTACGCGAGTTCTCCAAGTATATACAAAAGTTTTCCACAGAAATCCGTAACGTTTTCCAGGAACTCCGTGACAGTTATCATAAGAACTCAAAACAAGTTATCATAAGAACTCCATCTTTCGTGTAACACTTCCTCCCCCGTGATTACAGAAGATCATTGGTTTTATCAAGAGATCAGGAGCCGCTTTTGCCTGACTCTGACTTCTTCCACCAATAAAGCTTAAAATCTGTAAATGTAAAAGTAGGTCCAAAAAGTAGGGCAAGATGGTCTTAAGACAGATGGACACAAGCCTGGATAACTTAAAATCCGTCTTAGCACAGCTACAGTCGCACTTGCGTCGCTCATTTGAGAAATATATGAATTGCTCAATTTATTATTTTGAACCTCGGAGACGTGCCAATAATAAGCAATGGTTATGTTCAGACCTATACAGCTCATTTTTGCCAATAGAATAAATTGAAAAGTAAGTTTGTGTATGTCATTATTATTTTTTTTTAACTTTGGCAAATAAACTAATAAATATTTGCTATTACTGTTTAGATCCATCTTCCAAATCGCTTTCTGTCCAGAAAGATTTACAAGACCAATATCATATTAAAAACACAGCGACATCAAAGCCTGTACCTCATTCACGAGTGTCATTTCTCTGAAGTGTTGGCAGTTAAATAAAAGTCCCACTTGTTATTTCTCATATTTTATTGATATTTTTTTCTTTAAATAACCACGTTCTTCGTTTCAAGTAAAATTGACACAGCATCTTCCCAGCATTACCAGTGTAAGACCTCAGTTCATTTCTGTGTATAATTTCAGGCTGTACAAATCAACACTAAGGAAACAAAACACTGTCAGGGGCAAATGGTTCACTCTTCAAAAATCCTTACCATTTTTTTTTCTATTTAATATCTGTTCACAAGCTACTCCATCTCAGCTTGCTATAAAATGAATCCTGGGAAGTAATGATGACTGTAATCCTAGATGAATCTTAATACTTTTATTATAGGAATAACTAGGGTCTTTCTTCCAAGCTTTGATACAAATTTGATGTGACTGACAAACATACCCAGTTCTCTTACCAGCTATCTTAAGAGATTACAAACACTCTAATATAGTGTTGTTTTCTAAAGTCTTAACATTATAAAATAGGGAAAAACACAAATGTAGACTAAAAATCATTTTTAATCACAAGAGAATGTTCACTAATAATAAGCAATTAAGCACAGAATAAAGTAAAAATTGTTCTATCACAGCTAGGGCAAGTATTATTAACATGGAAGTAATACTATAAAGATAAAATATTTAGAATTCAAAACTAGCAACTTTTTTTATCAGGAACTGATAAAAGGTGTGGTTAATTATCTTCCATCCTTCCCAATTATACATGTATGATTGTCTGTAAGTTCTGGATTTATCCTGTTTGATTTCATCAACAGATTATCCTAACATTGAGAAGCATAAAGCCTACTCGTGGCCTGTGAATATTTTTGCCCATTCTTAAACTCTAAATAAAGATAACTATAAAATTAAAATATTCCTAATTTTCCTTTTCAACTCAAGCAGTATTCATCTTATACATGCTAAGTTTAACTTAAGTTTTAACAACATTTTAACCATATAACTATAGGTAGTAACCTTAAAATTGTTCCTGGGTTTAAACTGGTGCAAACCATTTTTCCACAAAAATATGTTCTCCAAATGAATCGTTATAACAGATATATAGGTGAAATTGCTTATACGAGCATGTATTTGTCATCAAAAGAAATGGTCATATGACAAAATAGTAAATGCAAAAGTGTCCCAAGTCAAAACTCATCCAGGTGGTCTAACTCTTTTAAGTTTATAGACATTCATCAGTCACATACTAGAATGTAATTACTGTAAATTACAAAATATCTTTAATCCTGTACTTACAATCCAGCTAAACTTTCACCTTCTTTACAATTTAAGCATATAATATGGAATATAAATCAAATGTAATCCAGTTCCATCAGTAGTATATTAACAGAAAATGAAGATTACACCTTTAAACTGGTCATTTTAACAACTCATTGTTTGCATAAATGGTACACTTATTTGTCATCAATTTTCACTTTTACTTGCAATTAAATGTCACTTTTATTTGCTATCAAATGTCAACAAAATGTGTATAATTACAGTGATATTCCACCTTCCACCTAAAGGAGAATCAAACAATATAAACAAGAATTTCAGTTTTCAATCTGGATAATTCACATTAACATTTGACTTATATAAATCCAGGAACAATTGACTAATAATTACATCTTCAGATACACAAGATGTAATCAGCTGTCAACAACTGAAAAACTTGATTTTTAGAAATTTTATGCATAGATTAAAACCATTTCATTATTTCAGAAACTTATTTAAGGACCAACCAAGGAAAGTCGTAGCAGATTTAAGATTTCTATTCTTATAAAATGATTTGTCTAATACTAGTAACTTATACATTTAAAATTGTTGTCGATGATTTTCTAAATTATCAACAATTAAGTCTTATAGTCCATGTGTATCCATCCACTAAGAACGGGTCATTCAGCATTTTTCTGTAAATAGAAAATACAATTCTAAGTTATTTACCATTTAACTGTACAATACAAGAACATATTGAACAAGTACACAGGGTTGAACAAGTACATAGGGTTCAAAAGCAATCCCAACTGAAGTTTCCACATAAGTTTACTATATACACATGTACTAAGTTTGATTACTAACTCTAGTAACTATACGGAAATCATGAAGTGGACTGACTAACAACCGCCCGACAAGCTCACTTTGTCATGTTGTTATAAAGGTTCTTGACAGGTTATATGACCTGATAAAAACTGCTGTTTGCAATAAACCCTTACTTGGCAGCTTGAGTATATATGCAAACGGCCATAAAAAAATCTCACTATAAACTAAAAGTATAAATTTTATGGTTGTTTGCAGTATTATCTAGACAAATAATCTTGGCCATATGATATTAAGACTGGCTCATATAACCTGTCAAAAATCTTTATAATTAATAAGATAGTTACCTTTTTTAATGGAACAGGTTCAGGTACATCTAGTAGATTACAAATACGATTTCTTAATGGTTTGATTTTTTCTACTTCATCATCCCTACAATAATAAACTGGTAATGTCAAAACAGTTATAACAATCAAATGATTTATATTGATGTAGTTTTAATCAAATGAACCATAATGATGTAATTTTAATCAAACAAAGCATAATAATGTCATTTTAATGGTACTACATTGTATTACAAAAGTCAATTCAGAAAATAATTTCTATAGAACAGTTGCCTTCACTGGCCTTCTAAACAATATGATAAATCTGCAGAAATTATTAAGATAAAAATGTTTTATTTCCTTTTATATGCATGTATATAAAAATGATTTTCTAGCTTTTTCATACATTGTATATATATTTTCTTTCAATTTCAAATTTTGATTTTTTATATGTCATAATGTGGATTATTTACTTCATTTATAAGAAATGGAAATTTTGTTTGTTTATAGAACTTTATAAAACATTTCAAGTCAATCAATCCCTTGCTTTAGTCTAACTAGTTTTCTGCTATGTGATATGATGCAATGAAATTATATTCTAAAAACAGAACTAGATTAAACTACATACCAGATAGTTTCACTAAGAATTGTCATGATTTCTTCTAGATTTTCAATTGGTGCAATATCATCATAAGTGACAAGAACTTCATAAAATTTGTTTGCAGTTGTTTTACGAATCTGAAATGATTTTTTTAGAAATATCAAAATACAGTGAAAAAGACCAGATCCCAATTATTTTATCAAAACTGGGATGCAAAATAAAGCCCAAAACTTTGCTTGCATGTTTCCGTACACAATTTCTTGCTGTGTGTTAGTTCTTTGCCATATAAATTGTATATGATATCAAAAGAAATTCTTTCTATCAAAGTATTCAACAAAGGAAACTAAAGGTAAAAACAAAACATAATTTTATTGCAATAACAATTTTTTTTTAAACTTTTGAAGTTTCTTTAATTTTTTTTTCATATGCGACATTTTTGCAAAGCTCTATATTAACTCATGTTTTCTTCTTTTTTTTCTTTTATTTGTGTACTATATTTGCCACTACATTGAATTTGGAAATATAACGGATTTCAAGTTCAAAAACACAAGAATTGAGCTATCAGTAATATAGAGGCTGGTCACATACACATCCAGATTTATTGCCTCAATAGTGGTGGCAAGTCTATCACTTTATTCAAGCAGGGTAAGGACTACAGAACTTTGCAAGCTCATCTAGAGAATATTTCTTGAGGGTGCTATTTTCAGGGTTGTGTCAAGTTGTCTGTGCAGGTTAAACATATAAATAAGATACAATCCATTAGAATAGCACACATTTTTTGTACATTATACTTAATACATTCTGTAAGATCGAAATGATTTCCCAGTTCAGATTTTAAATCTGAACTAAACCAAGGGGATTATTATACACAGAACACGCATAAAATATTAAGACAATACATATTTGTAACATCAAGATTGAAGCAAAACAAGGTGAAAAAGGTATTTTACTCACTCTAGGGAATCTGTGACAAAGGAAAATACAAAGAGAAGTGAGACTTTTCTTCCTGACTTCACCAGGGAATTGCAGCAAACCACAGTATCTGAAATGTGTGAAGAATTATTTGCAGGTTAAACAAAAAGATTTAGTGCCTTAAATAAAACCCTTTAAATTACAGAGGATTTGCGTCAAAACTGTTGAGGTCATATCAGAAATTCCCTGTTTAATTAGTCTATATTTATTTGTATTTATTAGCAGTGGATTTAAATGTCTTACAAAATGACATTCCAAGAAAAAGCAAGAGTAAACTAAGGATGTTAGGCTTTGTTATTAAGGTTGTGCAGGTAGCTTATATAAAAACTATTAAGGTACAAAGCACATAACGGAATAGTTATACTTACTAACCAGGTAATACTAGAAATGAGTCTATAGGTCATGGATGCCCCCACATTCTTGTGTTTTGCTTGTCTACGGACCGACAAAGTGGTGGGACAGAGGGACAAAGGAAAATCTTTATCCCTTCAAGAAGTGGGGGCGTAACGATATTTTCATAACATGAAATTAACTTACACATCAGCACTTGCGAGCAGTTTCTGGGGTTCTCCACATTTCAGGATTTCTGTCTTCACCAACTGATATACTTCTAGTGGAAATGAATAGCTGCAAACATTCCAATAAATACTGATAAAAATGTATATGTAAAAGCTTAAAAATTTTCTACTTTGTACTTCCCAATAATTGATCTAATAATTTTACTTGATATATCTATTGAGACACAGAGACTTTTAACGTTTAGATTTTTTTTTGGTTTTACATCACATCAACATAGTATAGGTCATATGGCCACACTTGGCTTTACTGGTTAAGGAACACCTCTGGTGTCCTTTCATGCATTACTTCAGACACAAACTGGCACGCGAGTAGAACCACCAACATTCCATAAGCAAGCTGGATAGCTTCCTCAAATAAAATGATCCAAAGTCCCTGTCAGGATTTGAATCCACAGCGGTGAGAGGCAAGTGGTTTTAAGTCAACAACCTTAACCACTCAACCACGGATGCCCTAGAGAGACACAGAGACAAGTCTAGATCTAAATATTTTTGATAGTAAAGAAACTCAAAAAAAAAATTCATAAATTTGAAGGGTTTTTATTTAAAGAAGATGATATGCACATATTTGACAGAATTTTTTGTCTAACACATAAACTAACATACCTTTCTTGTTCTATAAAAGGATCAAAACAACCTGTCGACAGCAATTGGTCCAACATCTTCACCATTGGTAGTGAAACCCTTAATGTAAAATAATATATCATAAAACCTTTAATGTAAAATAATAAATCATAAAACCCTTAATGTAAAAAAATATATTATAAAACCCTTAATGTAAAATCATAAATAAAAAAACGCTTAATGTAGAACAAAAAATCAGAGTCATAAATCTGAGTTATGTGTAAATAAATTTACTTGTTACTGGTTAATGCAAACAATGTTTTAAATAACTGGAAGTTTAGGTAGGTAGGTATTTATTTTATTTTACACTAATAAATGACAAAACACATTTTTCATTTTCAAAATCATATTGGGTAGGAGTTGTACTGTTTGTAAAGTATTTGGGTAAGACCTTTGCACGTGGGTAGAAACTAAATTTTGTTTGACTCTTAAGAGTGCTAGAGACTTAAATAGTTTGGTTTGCCACCAGTGTAGTCAAGCCAGTATGTATATAGTCAGAATATTACTGTAGTAAGCTGATCCAAACACTAAATACAACTTAGAAAAGGTTTCACATTTCATTACCTTAACAAAAATAAGACAAGAGATCTGAAGTGAAACTGTTAAGACATCAATAAATGTTTCACCTCTTCACTCAAAAATAGAAGCTGTGAGCAAAATATGACGATGAAAATATACCTGTCCACTTTTTGGTAGTCCTTAAAAATTTGTGTTAGAGTAGATGTAATCCTTGTTAATTCTTTGATATCTTTACTTAAACTCCTGAGGTAAGATTGTAAGGATGCATTTGAATGTTTAACCTGCAATGACGAAAAACTGATGTTAATAAAATTCAGGTGGGAAGAAAACACAAAATCTAACCTATACATGTATAAAAAAGTTAAACCTGGATTATAAGAATTATTTCATCTTAGCTTTACACCGTTAAAAAACATTCTATAGACTTATAAGACAACTAGAAATGTGTCAAACGACACAGATTCCACTGTTTTCACAGTCTATGAATGAATGGACAAGAGCAAATCTATTTGCACCGCTTAAGTAAAAGGGCCATAAAAAATATAGCACATGTAACAATGATAGATAAATATCATTAAATTTCTTGGTTTAACCCCTCCTGTGATGTGTTATTTACTTAATTTAAGGCCAAACAAGCATAATACTCACCAGAGACTCTGTCAGTCCTCCCACACTGACAGTAAGGCCAAGCAAAACACTATAGGTGTACGCGTGACACTTTAACAGTTTGGTAAATCTTGGAAATGTGTCGCCTGGGGCAGCCCAGTTTATACTTGGAATTTCTTCTCTACAATACAAAAAAGTTAAAATTTAATAAGCAAACAGTATAAGTTCCCAGTCAAACTGTAGATATTTGCAGACTGGCCTTGCTCTGTACATTGGCTAGTGGTATAGGTAGATAGTATTCAAAGAGTTAACTATAACTTGTGGTATAGTGTGTACAACTGGCGACATAGATCGGCATTTGATTTCTGATAAATAATATGCTGACAAACAAATGAAAAGTATGTGCTAAATTGAATAAAAAAGCACATTGTTTACACTTTAGAACAAAAATCAATAGTTTGACTCCAGATGCAAAGTAATTATTTTGTCCTTCTAGTGTTTTGTGAATTTTCAAGTTGAAATTCTAAAATTGAGAGACCAAAATATTCTGTTAGGTAAAACATATGCAGAACGGCCTGACTCTGTACTGATTAAACAGTTTTGTCATTAGATTATAGTTTATACAGAATTTATTGTAGTCTGTGTAGCTTAAACTATAAGCTTATAAACACACCCTTGAATCTGTTCCTTGGACCAACAGCAATGAGTGCAAGGTGGCTTGCCCCTGATGGGATTTGAACTCACACAGTCAGCAATTCTTAAAATACTAGTCTGACACATTAACCACATGTCTTCTCATTACTGCAACTAGGATGTGTTTTTTTACTTAAAATAAAGAAATAATAAATAAATGTACATACTTTGGGAAAATATTCTGAAGTTCCTCTCTCTCTGGTATATTTGGTACTGGAGGACTGAAATATTACAACAAATTTCATCAGTTTCATTAGCTTAGTAAGTCTTTGGTCAATATGTCTACATACATAGGGTTTGTGAGTTGGAGTCCTAAACAAGGCACATGTTTTTTTGTGGTTAAAGTTTGATTGACTTCAGTATAACTAATGATATTTGTCTAAAATAGCTGTTTGAATAGCTTTTTGTAGAGAAGTTGGCAGTTTCTTGTCTGCTAACATATTCCAATTAAATAATCACTATTTTCCCTTACAAAACTAGGTTAAAAAGCATAAAACTAGAAATGTGCCCAATGGACACAGATGCCCCCCCACACCCCACTGTTTTGTCAGTCTACTGATGTACAGCAGGACAGTTTGACAGACAAAGGAAATTCTCCATGACTCCCCCTACCCCAAAATCACATTGTAAGTGGTTAGGGCATAAAAAATGACATCCAAGTGGGGGCACAAAAATAAAGTATACAGTAAAATGTTACCTATGATAGAGAAGGGAAGAGAATATGTTGCCGGCATGAGCTCGTGTTCTATCTATCTTCTCACAGGCTTGTTGTACTAGTGATGTCATCATATGTTTACACCTGAAATTATTTATCATACTGTTAGCAAAATTACTTACATCGTTTACACATACTAGTAGGTTTACATCTGAATTAGTGCATTTCGTTAGAACCAATATTTATAGTGAAAGTTGTTGACAAGTATTACAGAGGTGACATTGTATAAATTCAAATCCAAGGACTGAGATTTTGTTTCATCAGTCATTCAGGAATACAACTGTTTGACACACAGTGCAAGTTCATTCTACATTGTCAGTAAACATTTATTGAAAGGCTGGTGAAAATATGAGTTATTTGTCAAACTTACACAGTAGGTTGTAAAAGGTCAGGTTGACTGCTGACAGTGAGGGCAGTGATCTCCAGCAATCCACTCATACTAGCTTCTCTCACCCTGTAAAAATACACAAAGTACAAACATATACATGTATAAAAGTTATAAAATAATTAAAATGTGGGTCTTGAATTGAAGGATTATATCACAAATGTTTAAAATCATAAGACTGAGTATAAGTCTGTGTTTCAATTTAATCACCAGGTGCAACTTTGACCCATACTTTAATGTCCTACCCTTTCCTTCAAAAGCATAAAATGCATCCATCCCTCTGTCTAATGGATGGTAACACTTAGAATTTTATAGCCAAAAAGTAATAAATAAATAAACAAGAGCTGTCGGTAGGACAGCACGCTCGACTATTCTAAGTGCTTGATAGTAAAAGAGCCTTGATAATGTTAAATTTTTTAAGTTCACAAAAGGGCTATTTTTTTTTTTATAAATTCATGTTATAGGACTTAGAGAGAGTCTAATTATACGGTATTGGCTTGACTATTAGGAAGGTAATGTCACAAGGGTGTTTTATTGAGCATTATAATACTCAATACCTATGAATACATAAATTGGACAGAAAAGGTACAAAGGCTTGTTTTTAAGATGTTTTATCAAGTAAATCACTGCTTCATTATTATGAATGCATAAAATTGTCCCAAAAAAGGCACAAACCCTTCAGTAGTTATTGAGATAACAGCTTACAAGCAAAACTTTACCACGAATTTCTAAGTTGAAAAAGGGGAGAAAAATCAGACTAAATGCAAGATAGAATTATGGATCTTTGTCAGTGACCTACAATTATGACCCTTAATGCATATGTGAAGTTTTAAATAAATATTTTTGATAGTTATTGAGATATGTAAAACTTGCATAGAGACTAAGTAAAATCAGCCTTAATGCAAGATAAAGTTATGGAACTTGGTCAGTGACACAATTATGACCCTCCAATTATGACCCTAAGTGCATGTGTAAAGTTTCAAGTAAATATCTTTGAAGACCTTTAACCAAAATTTCTTATTTCAAAGAGGCAAATAATTCTGCAAATATTGCAGGCAGAGTTATGCAATTTTGCAAACTGATGTACATTGTTACTATAAAAAAGTATTTTAAATTTAAATTGAATATCTCAAGCAATAATTGAGATATTTGACTTTACAAAAAAACTTTAACCAAAATTTCTAAGTTAAAAAGGGGAATAATTCTGTCAATATTGTAGGCAGAGTTATCCAACTTGTCAATCTGATGTACCTTGTTACTATAAATAAGTATTGTAAGTTTCAATTCAATATCTCAAGCAATAATTGAGATATTTGACTTTACAAAAAACTTTAACCAAAATTTCTAAGTTAAAAAGGGGCATAATTCTGTCAATATTGTAGGCAGAGTTATCCAACTTGTCAATCTGAGGTACCTTGTTACTATAAATAAGTATTGTAAGTTTCAATTGAATATCTCAAGCAATAATTGAGATATTTGACTTTACAAAAAACTTTAACCAAAATTTCTAAGTTAAAAAGGGGCATAATTCTGTCAATATTGTAGGCAGAGTTATCCAACTTGTCAATCTGATGTACCTTGTTACTATAAATAAGTATTGTAAGTTTCAATTGAATATCTCAAGCAATAATTGAGATATTTGACTTTACAAAAAACTTTAACCAAAATTTCTAAGTTAAAAAGGGGCATAATTCTGTCAATATTGTAGGCAGAGTTATCCAACTTGTCAATCTGATGTACCTTGTTACTATAAATAAGTATTGTAAGTTTCAATTGGATATCTCAAGTAATAATTGAGATATTTGACTTTACAAAAAACTTTAACCAACGCAGATGCCGACGTGGACGCTGACGCCGACGCCGGGGCGACTACAATAGCTCTCATATTCTTCGAATAGTCGAGCTAATAAATGAAAATATATGCAGAACATTTATCCACATACATCAAACCTCAAGATTGTGTTCCAGAACAAAATGTAGGTATAAACTAGTCTTTCCACATATTTATCAAATCAGTCTCAAGGAACAATGCTATTATCATGAGAAAACTATATAAAATTATGACACTCAAACTCTTTTTTACATAAAATTCTTTGTCAGTCAAAGACAATTTAAAGTTTCTTCTTTATTCTATAGATTTTAGGACAATTTAAATCGACTTTTGACTTACTGTGACTCCAATCATTTAGAAAATTAATTATGGTCCTGAAAATTATGTTCTAACATATTTTTTACTTGTAATGAAGAAAACAAAATCAAGTAAAATCCAATAGAAACAAAGAGAACAATATCCCCTTTATAACAAGAATTTGTAACAGAGTTACCAACGTCCCCCGCCCCGGGAGTTTTCTATGAAGCATAAAATTGTGCTAATTAAAAAGATTGAGGTATGGATCTCAGGACATTCAGTCCAAAATTATGATCAATGCTAGATCTGCAAATGTAACAATAAATTTGTTAAAGAAATAAAATGAAACATGGAATTTAAAAATTTATCATGTTAAGCTTTGACCTCTAAGTGTGACCTTGACCTTGGAGGTAGGGGAGCAGGTGTTGTGCATGACATAATGTCTTATTATTGAGACTATTTGTGCCAAGTATTTTCAAAATCCCTTGAACTATGAAGAAGTTATAGATTGGACACAAAATATACCATATAACAGACTATGTAAATCTTTGACCTCTAAGTGTGACCTTGACCTTGGAGGTAGGGACACAGATGTTACGCATGACATATCATCTAATCATTGTGACTATTTGTGCAAAGTATTTTCAAAATCCCTTAATCTATGAAGAAGTAATGGACGGGACAAAAAATATACCAAATAACAGACTCTGTTAACCTTTGACCTCTAAGTGTGACCTTGACCTTAAGAGGTAGGGGTGCAGGTGTTGTACCTGACATATCGGCTTATTATTGTGAGTATTAGTGCCAAGTTATTCCAAAATCCTTTGAACTATGAAGAAGTTCTAGATTCGACAAAATATATCCTATAACAGACTATGTTAATTTTTGACCCTCTAAGTGTGACCTTGACCTTGAAGGTAGGGATGCAGGTGTTGCGCATGACACATCCTCTTATTATAGTGACTATTTGTGCGGAGTATTTCAAAATCCTTTGATCTATGAAAAAGTTATAGACCTGACACAAAATATACCCTGTAACAGACTATGTAAGTATTTGACCTCCAACTGTGACCTTGACCTTGGAGGTAGGTGACCGGTTTTTGCGCATGACACATCATCTGATTATTGTGAACAATTATGGCAAGTATTTACAAAAGTCCTTCATAGATAAGAAAGTTATGGACCGGACACGACATATACCCTCAAATAGACAATGTTGACCTTGAATGAGCAAGTACGACCTTGACCCTATAGGTACGGGTCTGGTTGTTGCGCATGACACATTGTCTTATTATAACAAACATTTGTGCCAAGTTATCTCAAATTCCTTTGATAAATGACAAAGTTATGGACCGGACACGAAATATACCCTGTAACAGACTATGTTAATATTTGACCTCCAAGTGTGACCTTGACCTTGAAGGTAGGTGACTGGTTTTTGCCCATGACACATTGTCTGATTATTGTGAACAATTATAGCAATTATTTACAAAATCCCTTCATAGATAAGAAAATTATGGACCGGACACGACATATACCCTCAAATAGACAATGTTAACCTTGAATGTGCAAGTACGACCTTGACCCTGAAGGTACGGGTCTGGTTGTTGCGCATGACACATTGTCTTATTATAACAAACATTTGTGCCAAGTAATTTCAAATTCCTTTGATAAATGACAAAGTTATGGACCGGACACGAAATATACCCTGTAACAGACTATGTTAATATTTGACCTCCAAGTGTGACCTTGACCCTGAAGATAGGTGACTGGTTTTTGCGCATGACACATCATCTGATTATTGTGAACAATTATGGCAAGTATTTACAAAATCCCTTCATAGATAAGAAAGTTATGGACCGGACACAACATATACCCTCAAATAGGCAATGTTGACCTTGAATGAGCAAGTGTGACCTTGACCCTGGAGGTAGGGGTCTGGTTGTTGCGCATGACACATCGTCTTATTATAATAAACATTTGTCCCAAGTTATTTCAAATTCCTTTCATTAATGACAAAGTTATGGACCGGACATGAAAGTGTGACGGACGGACGGACAGACGGACGGACGGACAGACGGACGGACGGACGGAGCCTATTTCTATATCCCCCTTTTTTCTTCGAAAAGGCGGGGGACAAAAAACAGAATAACTATTATTGTTAGATAAAAAGTGTCCCCATAAATACACAATCAACAAAACTAAATTCTTTAAAAGATTGCAAAAGATGGAATATCTCACAAAATCAAACAAGAATTTGTAACAGAGTTACCAACGTCCCCCGCCCCTGGAGTTTTATATGAAGCATAAAATTGTGCTATTTCAAAAGATTGAGGTATGGATCTCAGGACATTCAGTCCAAAATTATGATCAATGCTAGATCTGCAAATGTAACAATAAATTTGTTAAAAAAATAAAATGAAACACGGAATTTAAAATCTATCATGTTAAGCTTTGACCTCTAAGTGTGAACTTGACCTTGGAGGTAGGGGAGCAGGTGTTGTGCATGACATAACGTCTTATTATTGTGACTATTTGTGCCAAGTTATTTCAAAATCCCTTGAACTATGAAGAAGTTCTAGATTCAACACAAAATATACCCTATAACAGACTATGTTAATTTTTGACCTCCAAGTGTGACCTTGACCTTGGAGGTAGGTGACCGGTTTTTGCGCATGACACATCATCTGATTATTGTTAACAATTATGGCAAGAATTTACAAAAGTCCTTCATAGATAAGAAAGTTATGGACTGGACACGACATATACCCTCAAATAGACAATGTTGACCTTGAATGAACAAGTACGACCTTGACCCTGAAGGTACGGGTCTGGTTGTTGCGCATGACACATCGTCTTATTATAACAAACATTTGTGCCAAGTTATCTCAAATTCCTTTGATAAATGACAAAGTTATGGACCTGACACGAAATATACCCTGTAACAGACTATGTAAGTATTTGACCTCCAAGTGTGACCTTGACGTTGAAGGTAGGCAACTGTTTTTTGCGCATGACACATCGCCTGATTATTATGAACAATTATAGCAAGTATTTACAAAAACCCTTCATAGATTAGAAAGTTATGGACCGGACACGAAATATACCCTGTAACAGACTATGTTAATATTTGACCTCCAAGTGTGACCTTGACCTTGAAGGTAGGTGACTGCTTTTTCCGCATGACACATCGTCTGATAATTGTGAACAATTATGGCAAGTATTTACAAAATCCCTTCATAGATAAGAAAGTTATGGACCGGACACGAAATATACCCTGTAACAGACTATGTTAATATTTGACCTCCAATTGTGACCTTGACCTTGAAGGTAGGTGACTGGTTTTTGCGCATGACACATCGTCTGATTATTGTGAACAATTATGGCAAGTATTTACAAAATCCCTTCATAGATAAGAAAGTTATGGACCGGACACGACATATACCCTCAAATAGGCAATTTTGACCTTGAATGAGCAAGTGTGACCTTGACCCTGGAGGTAGGGGTCTGGTTGTTGCGCATGACACATCGTCTTATTATAATAAACATTTGTGCCAAGTTATTTCAAATTCCTTTCATAAATGACAAAGTTATGGACCGGACACGAAAGTGTGACGGACGGACAGACGGACGGACGGACGGACAGACAGACGGACGGAGCCTATTTCTATATCCCCCTTTTTTCTTCGAAAAGGCGGGGGCAATAACATATCATTACGTACCATGCACCAACATCACCTCGGCTGTCCAACGTGTAATCTTTTAAAGCACAAAGGAATGCTTCGTACACTTGACCTATATTGGCTGAACACAAGGTCTTATTCAGATCACCATTTTTGTCCACACCTACTGTATTACATACACTGAAATAATGTGAAGTAGAATAAATTTATTTTCTTAAACATGGTAATTACTTAAAACTCCAAAGTAAGGAAATTAAAGTGAAATAATGCAAAATAATGAAAATTTAATCATTGATTTATAAAATTTAGTTGTAAATGTAAAAATTCATGAACTGTACAGTCCCTGAAAAACATGTAAACTAGAAACTGACTTTAACATCAATAATAGATATTTCCAGTCAATAGCAATGAAAAATTTTGTCCCGCCTTTTCTATTCATGGCTTAGTCAACTGCTTTCAAATGCTATCCCCAGCCCCACTGCAAAATAAATTTTTTATATTTCATAAAATTGTGAAGTGTGCTATCAACTGGCGGTGTGTAGCTTTAATCTCACGACCTGCTGAATCCTTCAAAAATAATTACCATGTTATGGCCTTAAGAGCATCACGCCTTCCCTCCGCCCACTTTTCTTCTTTTTCAGTAATCTGTGTGGCTTGTATAAGTCCGCCTAACACTGGTCGTAATTTTCCTATCAACATGAATTTTGGAAGAGCACCAAGTGCTAGAGAATGACCTTGCCTGAAATTACAATTGAAAAGAAAAACAAGAATGGATAAGAGATAAAAAATGTATACTATTTAACACAAGCTAAAATAGTACATTGTCCTTCTTTTGTTTTGAAATGTAGGAATATTGTAGTACCTTTATTAACAATAGACTTCAATAATAAAAATACTAAAGAAAATGACTGATAACTACATCCGCAAAATAAAGGTTAAAGTTGCTGACTTTAAATAACGTTCCTCTAATATTGTAGATTTTAAACTTATAAAGGCCTAAATTTCTTTCATGTGAGGAAATAATACGCAAAGGAGCATCTGAACGTCATTGAATGACTTGTACAGTGTCAGAGTAACTTAAAACCTTTTAAAAAACATTTGCAATACACAAGTCTTGCTACAGCTTTGGTCAAATTACATTTTTGCTGTTATCAACACAATATTATAACCAAAATCAATGTTTTTTTTTTCCAGGCATAAACCTTTAGTTAATCAACAACTTTGCCATAAACATACATGTACCTTGATATTTCTAGAGAGGCCCTCAGCTGTCGTAGATATCTTTCTATCACCATTTCTGAAATACAAAGTTAGGTACATACTAAATATTGCAATTTTTAAAGTGATATACAAGTTCTAATACACCAGACATGTGTGTAGTCAAATAAAACAAAGAATTTTAAACTAGTCTTTACATAAAATAATTCCTACAATTACAAACTATTCAGTTCATGTGAATGTATCACTCTGTATACCTATATCAAAAGAGTATATTTCTTGTTGGTATTTTTCATTTCTCATGAGTCAAGGATGAAAGGGAAACTGGGAAAACAAAATATTTAAGACTTAACAAATACTCTGAAAATCCTACTTTAGATCTAAATATGTAGAGCTGATTGTTTTATGGAGGTTTTTTTCTTTTCTTGTCTATTTTTTCTTCCTGAACTAAACCACAACTTGTGAAATATTGTTGTGAAATTTTAAAACACACTTTGGTTAACCCTTGTATTGTATAAACCTTTGTCCTTGGATTGGGAACAAGCAGATAAAAAAATCCACTTTTCCGCTCGTAATTACGAGTAGAATTTAGAGAACTGGATGCCAAACGAGTAGAAAAAATGTTGTCTGCACATTGGATTTAGAAGCTACTTGTCCTGGAGGACAAGTGACTCTGAAAATATTTTTCGATGCCTGGAACAAGACACTACAAGCTTGTGACAACCACTCTCATATAATTACCTTGTCTTTTAGGATCAGCAACACCATTAGAATCTCTATAATATTCCGTAAAGAAGGCAGGTATAGCATTAACAGCAGCCATCTGTATCTCGTGCTCCGTGTGATTCAAACAGTCATCTAGTATGTCCTGCCATATATCTGTATTAGAATGATGACATATATGATTTTATTCCAAAGAAATATGCATTGTCAATCTTTAAACAAAATGAGTGGGTGTTTTAACTTTAAATATCTTTTTATTTCTTTTTTCTGGCCCCATATGGGGTTATGGCAGATGTGACATGCAAACTAAAGACAATTAGATGCAAGGATCCAAAATCTGCAGAATAGAAAGATTTTATTATAACTACAAGCTTTACCTATGACTGGATCTGTATGACATGGAAATTTCGACAAGGAAACTCTCTCTATTAGACAACACACGGCTGTTCTCATCAACTCCCCACTCATTCCTCGGAATAACTTCTTATCATGTAACTATAACAATAGAGAAAATAAAATAGAACAATAATTATAGAAGCCTTTTCAATCAGTCTAACATAACTATACACTGTTGACAGTTTAACTTCTGCAATAGCAATTTTATACAGAAATTTCATAAATCACAAATAAAAAATTCAAATTTGTCACGGTTCAGAACTGTTCACTATTTAGAGGAAAAGATGTGTAAGCTACTGGATAGCTCAGTCGGTCAGGCCACAGTAAGGTATTCCGAGGATCCCAGGTACGTGTCCTGGTCAGGCTGCAAAATTTTCTCACCCTGTGACAAATTCATTAAAGGTGAAGTTCACTACAAACATTACACAGATGTTAAGGTCACAAAACTGGTCTCAAATTAAATTTCAAACAAAAAAGCTGGTGTGTCTACTCACTATAATGGAAATGTTCTTTATGTTCTCTATCACATCTGCTGGCAATATGTCTGTTATACTCCTTTAAAACAAATGATATCTTTAATTATGATTCTAAATTACTTATCTGTACTTATTATCTAAATTTATATGAGTTTGATTAGAGAAACAAGAGTACCTGTTTTGAAAGGGCAATACTAATGGTTTTATTTACATTTAAAGTGATCCCTTTTTACATGTTATTCATTTCCCATTTTACAGAAAAAAAATGAAATAACCAAAAGAAATTTTTAAAAATGCAAAACTGCCCAAAAATTTCCCTTTTACACTCCATACAAATCATAAATTTTTAATTATATCCAAAGTTTCCCTTTAACCCAGTAAAATAAAAACTTTCTTTTTAAAACCCCTTGAGGCTAGCTTTTATTAATTCAGAGTAGGAAAATTTACCAAAATTTTTATTTCCCTTTTTACCCCAATTTCTTGCTGGTCATACCCCAATTTTTCGCCAAAGATAAGCATTATTTCCATGTTTTTGACTAAAGGGATCCTTTCCCCGTGGTTGTGGAAACCCTTTTTTGATAGCACTGAAATAGGAATAATTTTTGAAAAATATATGTACATTTAAAACCTTGTACTTATTTTGTTACAAGTATAGGTATTTCTTGTAATTCCAAGTGTTCAAGGCTATTTAAAATCACTCAATCTATATACTTGCCAATATTTTCACTATTTAGGTAACTTTAATTTTCACAAAAATACATCTTTAGGCATAATGCTTTAAAGCCAAGTATTGTACCTCTGAAAAACAGGAACATTTGAATGGTTTAATTTGGTAATGGATACTTTTTTCTTACACCTATTATATAGATCAAGAATAGCCAGAATTTTCATCATGAAAGTCAGTCACCTCATAGATTAGATAAAAATCACACATCACACTTTGCATTATAATCATCACTTTTTAAGAATTGGAATCTTCATAAGAGAAAATAAGTAGGAAGGAATGCTTCTTCAAAGTAAAATGTCCATGTTCTTATATAAAAGAACACTATAATTTTTACTTTTTATGTTCCTATGCTGAATATATGAAATATAATTTTGTATGAAAGTCTATAGTATATAAGTGCCATTTCATATCCAATAAATAATCATCTGGAAACAAACCTCAATGTTGGAAAGTGAAGTAGATTTTATTGGCAATAGAAATAATCATACAAACCTGATTGTTTCACATGTTGTGGTGATTTCTCGGTCAGGTTATGAAGAGCTTTGGCAGCCAATTCTCTAATTACACTGAAAACAGTTAGGTTATTTGTGAGTATTAAAGTGACATTATGTCCATCCAAGGGCCAGTGAACCAGTGAAAGTCAAAATAAGTTTAAATTTTATAGTTTACTTCACATGAATGAGAAATAACTTACATGGTCCAAGGAAGTTTAATTAAATATCAATCGAAATTTACCTGTTCAATCAATAAAAAGAGTGTGGCAGTCTTTTTATATTCTAGGCAAGTTTACATTTTATCATTAACATTTTCCAAAATCTACTCTTGGTCAATCACCATTATTACAGTCAATATTATGTGATAAATATATAGTCAATTTAGCTCAACTTGACATTAAATAAATGAGCATTATATTACTTTAAAAAGTATCATAACTAAAATGATGAAAATCTAATGATTTTTAAAAATAAAAACATTTTGATTATTTTTCATACAGCAATTGCAATTGAAATGATAAATGATCTAAATAATGAAAATTTTTATTTTATGGTTAAAAGGAATGGCCAAAATTGGAAATCAATCTGGTTAAAGTTTAGAGCACAAAAATACGATTTTAAAATCTATCAATTTCTGAGTATTTTTCTGAAATCACTTAAGCACATTTCCTTTCTCTCTTCAGTGGCCCTGCTGATCTTTGTTTTTTAGGCTATTTGACCTTAGTGTAGTTCCTTATAAAATTCATTTGAGTGACAATGGTGTGTTCGACTGAAAATGTCAAATATAACAACTTACCTATCCCAATGATGAACTTTAACTTCAGCTAAATGATCTATCAATGGCATCTGTGTATTCAGGAAACTGGGCCACATATACGCTAAAAATGAGGAATAAAAAAAATCAGTGTTCTAAGGTCTGTGAGAGTATTCAAATCTATGACAATGAATTTTATTTCTGAACAGAAAGGAGGAGAAACATATAAGTGCAGCAAATTTAGTACTGATCCATCTAGTTTAAAAAAATCTCATTTACACTGTTCCAAAATGTTTTTATTTAAAGAGTTTGCTTTTTTCAATATCTCATTTTTGTCGAGATTTCACTACATCCAAAATATACTGACTAAATATATCTATATTTTTTTCCACAGTTAATCTTTGCAAAATACCTCAGTTCAAGAAAACAATGTGTGCGGTTCCCAACAGCAAAGTAGTCAGCATGGGTTAGTATATCTATACCATGTGGGAAGGTTCCCTGTCTACCAACATTTTCCTGGAAAGCTGCAGCGGCAGCACGTCTAACATTCACTTCTCTATCAAATATGGATGCTATGACAAGCGCGCTGAAAATGGCAAGACAAATGTGCATGTTTCTTTTAAATTTCAATATTTTTTGTTTGTTTTCTGCATATAAAATAGTCAGAAATTGGTTATAAAAGCCAACACACACATGGATTTATTAAAAATCATTTTCTTCATTAAAAGGTTCTCTCATTTTTTTGTCTGTATTAAATACAATGTACATTCATTTATATCATAGACTACAATATTTAATATTGAATAGTTTGGTATTTTGTATGTCAATTTGTTTTACAGGATCAAAATTTAGACTAAATATAGTACTCTTAACAAAATCCCCATTGTTAACAAAATCGAATTCAAACCTTGCAATTCTATTAACGTATGGTGCAATATCTTGAGGTTCGTAGGCTCTAGCAAACGCCCAACATACATAGCAAGAAGCGTCTCGGACATGAGCGCCTACAGAAAAACTTCCCCGCCTTTCATCATAAGCAAGAGCTTTTAACACTACTGGAACCACTACAAATAATTACAAAATAGAAACAAAACAAACTATTCAGTAACAGATTGTGCTTACTAATGTTGACAACCAAACTCTGACAATCCTTATTTCAAACAGATTTTGTAACTAAGATATAAAATTTCAAAAATAACTTATCAAACACTTACAAGACTGATATAAATTTTAACTGGTGACAGCATTTAGTCAGACTGACATTTGGCGTGATAAAAATTCAGTTTGCATAACCAAACTTTAACACTAAGTTTCTAATATTTTCCAAGATCTTATTATTTGGGGCTAAGGATGACCAATTCCTTCCATAGACAAAGGACAGCTTTCATCTGCATGCAGTCTAACTTTCTATTTTATTGCAAGCTAAAAATTCTGCTAGCTTAACCTTGAATTACTTCAAATTTGAACTTATATTAATTAAGACAACAGATATGTCAGTTTTTATATTTATTCAGCAAAACTATGTTTAACATACCATCTGGTAGTCTCTGAGGCAACAACAAACCTCTTCTACCAAGTTCTGCCAGGGCTAAACATCCTGTCATAAAATACATAGAACATCTTTATAAAACTTCTTTAGATGGAGATACTGATGTAAAATATAAATTTCTGGATACTTTTCAGCAAAAGGGGAGCATCATTTTCAATATTTTGAAAGTATACAACTACTGAGTGGTAAAGAGTTCCAAGAATAAAGTACAAAATATCCTATAATTTCCTTAGGTTAACATGTTTTTCAAGGTATCTGAACCAAACTCTACCAAACAAACATCACATACCTTGACACCTACTGAAAGCAATGAAGAAATTGCAAAATATGGCATAAAAAGACACAGTACCAGGAAAACTTGATTCCTATAAATCAAATGTATCCAAAAAACGCATGTTGAAAAAAGCAGATGTAAAAATAAATTTGATATCAATAAATAAGTTAATTCAATAAAGTGCATTCCTACCTTTCCATGCCATGCCCCATTCTGATTGCCATGAAAAATGAAAAAAGGCCTCATCAATGGGCCCCCCCCCCCCTGGTCTGCTAGTTCCCCGCGGCCCAAACCTTTTCCAGTTAACCTAAACCAAAAACTGATAATTTAAAAAGAAACAGATTTGTGAATTTTTTAGTTTTCCATGTTTCAGTTTAAAAAATTTCACTTAAAATGAAATTCAAATTTTAAAATTAACCCCAATTTTATTTAATTTATAAATGATAAAATTGAAAAAAGAATTTTTAAATTTCCCGTTTGAATTATGCAATTTTAAAAAAGGGGTTTTTAAAATTTTAAAAAATTTATTCCCTTTTAATGAATTTAGTATCTTTTTAACACATTTTCAATTTACACAAGTTACCCGAGTATTGCTGCCTTACTTTTTTCACTAAAAATAAAAACCCCTTTAAATTAAAAACACATATTTAAGAAAAACCTCAATCCTGCCAAATTATTCTGACAGACGGCTGGTAAGTCTATCATGCTGAAATAAAAAAATAAGTTTTAACTGACAGACTTCTAGTTTGACATGACCAGAATTGAACCCTATACCTTACATGTTCACGCACTCAACAACAGAACCATCACTGTTGTGCTTTCATTTCCTGTATAAATTTGATAAATCTCTGAGACATCCCTATATATACACAGCCCAGTAGGGAGATAAATTAGTATATTATATTTGATTGAATGCCAAGGTGTAATTCCATTTCCCCTATATCAAGTGAAAATGTTGGCTGTTACCAGCACTACAAGGCATACTGGTTACTACATGTATAGAATCACCGTTCCCTTACCTCTAAATCTCCAGAAAATAGATACACTCACAACATTCATGTAGGCATTATTTCATTTGTAAGAAGTCACCTTAGTGCAATAACTGGTTAACTCCTATTAGATTTAGAAGGACGTAACCCATTACTGCACTAAGGTAACGACTTGTTACAGTAAAACTATAAACATTCTGTCACTAAGATAAACAGCATACTCAAAAATTAAGATTGAGGTTATAAATGTTAAAATTCATAATTTTCATAAAATTCACATTACCCTTTGGCTGCTGACCATCTCACAATCGTGTCTTTATCTTTCAAACAGGTTAATAGTTGTTCTGTAAAAACAGGAGAAAATTTTTCCATTATTCATTATTATCATTATCTGAAAAACCTTGGGATATAAACGGCAATTATTTTGAAATTATCATTAAATGTATAATGATATAGATTCTCTCAAATTCTCATTAACAAACTTAGTTACAAAAGCTAATAATTTTTTCAATAACCATTTCTTTGATCAGGACTGGGTAAGGGTGCATAATTTCATATATTGTGCCCAATTATTTTAGGATTGCTTAAATATCGGTGAAGTTATTACGAAGACATCATTTTTTTTTTCAATAGCAGTGTGACTAAATGACTCTCAGTTGTACACATTAACTCCTAACACTCCACAAATGAATGTTTTTTACCGATAACTTCTTCAATGTCATCAGGAATGTCATATTCTTCTTCCTCTTCATCAGTAGTTGACGTAGTTTTAGTCATTGCTATTCTCTGGGAGTCCGAATCTTTATTCTGTTGTAAATTGTCAGCCAATGATCTGCTCCCCCTCTGGTATCTGTAATTATACATATATGGTAGATCTTTGGTTTTATATTTACACACAATTAAAGCAGCATGCCTCCAGACTCATGCTTATTTTCAAGAAAATATATTAACAAGAGGGCCATGATGGCCCTGAGGTCGCTCACCTGTATATAGGCCCCCCCCAACCCAAACCCACCCCCCCAAACGTTGCATCGCCAATTTAACCAAAGGGCTTTAATTTGCACGAACTTGGTAGACACCCATAAGAAGATGTTTCATGCTAAACATCTAAGCTCTAGCTCATTGAGCTTTTTTAAAGAAGATTTTTTTTAAAGTTTTTACTATACACATATAGTTAAAAACAATGACACCCCTGGGGCCTGGCCAGGGCTTTTATTTGAACAAACTTTGTAGACACTTACTAGAAGATGTTTCATGCTAAATATCTAAACTCTAGCTATTTGGGTTTTTTCAAAGAAGATTTTAAGTTTTTGCTATACACATATAAAGAAAATCAATGACCCCCGGGGCGGGGCCAATTTTGACCCCAGGTCTTATATTTGAACAAACTTTGTAGACACTCACTAAAAGATGTTTTATGCTTAATAGCTTAACTCTAGCTATTTGGGTTTTTTCAAAGAAGATTTTTTAAGTTTTTGCTATACACATATAAGGAAAATCAATGACCCCCGGGGTGGTGCCAATTTTGACCTCAGGGCTTTTATTTGAACAAACTTGGTAGACACCTATTAAAACATGTTTGATGCTAAATATCTTAGCCATAGCTCTTTGAGTTTATTAAAAGAAGATTTTTTAAGTTTTTACTATATGCATATAGGGAAAATCAATGGCCCCCCGGGGCGGGGCCAATTTTGACCCCAGGGCTTTTATTTGAACAAACTTGGTAGACACTTATTAGAACATGTTTCATGCTAAATATCTTAGCTCTAACTCTTTTGGTTCTTTAAAAGAAGATTTTTTTAAGTTTTTACTATATGCATATAGGGAAAATCAATGACCCCCTAAGGGCGGGGCCAATTTTGACCCCAGGGCTTTTATTTGAACAAACTTGGTAGACACCTATTAGAACATGTTTGATGCTCAATATCTTAGCCATAGCTCTTTGAGTTCTTTAAAAGAAGATTTTTTAAGTTTTTACTATATGCATATAGGGAAAATCAATGACCCCCGGGGCGGGGCCAATTTTGACCCCAGGGCTTTTATTTGAACAAACTTGGTAGACACCCATTAGAACATATTTCATGCTAAATATCTTAGCTCTAGCTCTTTGGGTTCTTTAAAAGAAGATTTTTTAAGTTTTTACTATATGCATAAAGGGAAAATCAATGATCCCCCGGGGCGGGGCCAATTTTGACCCCAGGCCTTTTACTTGAACAAACTTGGTAGACACTCACTAGAAGATGTTTCATGCCAAATATCTAAGCTCTAGCTCTTATGGTTTTTTAAAAGAAGATATTCAAAGTTTTTTCTTTCGGTTGCCATGGCAACCAGAGTTCTGCATGAAATTAAATTCTTTGAACAATTTTTAAAGGTGACCACCAAAGGAACATTCCTGTGAAGTTTGGATGAAATTGGCTTAGTGGTTTATGAGGAGATGTCATTTAAAGTAAAAGTTTACGGACGGACGGACGGACGATGAATGACCCTATCCTTCAGCTATGTATATTAAACCAACAGATGTATTGGACTGACTTCTTCCTAAATTTTTCATGTGATAAAGCCCTAGCCTGTTGTCTTCCAAGCATGATACCAGATACAAATGTGTCAGCCTTTACGAGAATACTTTAGAAACAAAAACTTAACAAGGGCATATAGCCGTTCAGTCACTTCTTGTACCCTGAAAGACTGCCATAGAGATGACCAGATTTTACATTTGTTTTTTTTTCTGAAGCAAAAAGTAACATTGAAATCTATTCATTTTTCAATTTCTTTACCTTTGTGCAGTTCACAGTCACAATGGCATTGTTCATGTCAATATTTATGCAAATCCACATAAAACCAGTTACATTTACAAATATATGAACTGGAAATATAAAACAGCTCTTACCTCCATTTCGCTACTCTACTCTTCAGGAATGTAAGCCCTAATCTTTGTATGACCTTGACACCATATTTCCTCAGAATTGAGTTACTACTGTCACTCAGGTTCAAATTGTGAACTTTCTCTAGAACTGTTGGAGCTAGAAAAAAGAAAAGAAAATTACATAGAAGACTGTGTTAAGGTAAATGTTATACTGTATAAAGTGGTTAACTTTGCAACGCAGAAATATTTGAGATTTTTGTGAATTGAGGAAAATCTCTAAATTTCCTCTAGCGTACATATCTACCAAGCTTTCATTAAATCCTTCTCTTCAATGATTCCCTAATATTTACTCATGCAAAATGACTGGAGTTTGAAATTTGCTAACTTTTCGACATGTGGAAATATCCACTTATACATTACAAGTCTCAAGGGCATGGTAAATAACAAGAAGACATTGACCTCTAAATGAAGGGCAATAACTTGGAAAAAATGGAAGCAATTGTTATATAACTTGCAAAGATTTTGTATAAGTAAATGTGTAAATTATGAAGTCACTGGTACAGGTAGAAGTTAACATAAATCCGACTTGCCAGTATAGGTTACCCTTGTACAGACGGAAGGGCGGGACTGATGGTCTGACAGACTGTCCAATTACTATATGCCTAGAAGCATAAAAGAAAAAATCTTTATTTGCAGGTAACACATAAAGAATATAAAAGAATGAAATGTACACACCATATTGTAAAAGGTCTTCCCTCTTGCCATGCTTGAACATCTGTCCTAGAGTTGCCAGTACACCAGTTAAACTTACTGTTCCAATCATTGTTGAATCTAGACAACATGAACAACAATAATGAACAAAAGCATTTCAAATCTTGGATGAAATATAACAGATATTGGTTTCATAACATAAGTATATCTTACTACATTTTTCATCTTCATGAAAAATATTTCATATTTACTCCTTTAACAATTACAAGAGCGATCAGTAATCACATGTGTCGCCTCATGATGGCCAATTTCATGTTGAGACAAAGTTTGTGACAGACGGACAGACAGACGGACAGTGCACAACTAGACTTGGTACTGATCATTCCTGTAAAGTTTAGATAAAATTGCACCAGTAGTTTATGAGGAGTCAGGGTTGTCATTAAGAGGCGGCAGGAGGCCAAAATGCCTCTCTCAAATGCATTATGGGCCGCCTCAAAATTAAGAAAACACTCTTTGTTATGCATGATGAAGACAGAAATGACCGCCTCAAGTTCAAAACAAACCTTCTGCAAAAAATGTTAATGACAACCCTGGAGGAGTAGTCCGGACAAGCTTTTGCGTATCTGGCAACACACAGAAAAAACACCTTTTTATCAAAGGGCCATAACTCGGCCAAAAATCATTCAACCGGAAAACCCGTGCAATATGCGCAAGGACTTGAGGCTACAGAATCAATCCTGTAAAGTTTCATTGAAATTGCTTTAGTGGTATAAGAGAAGTAGTCCGGAACAAACTTAAAAAATAAAAATTATTAAAGGGGACCATAACTCTGACAAAAATTCATTGAACCGGAAAAATGCTGATAATATGCACAAACTACCTTGGTACTGATCATTCCTGTAAAGTTTAGATGAAATTGCACCAGTAGTTTATGAGGGGTATCCGGAAACAAGCTTTTTGTGTATCTGGCAACACACAGAAAAAAACACCTTTTTATCAAAGGGCCCCATAACTCGGCCAAAAATCATTCAACCGGAAAAACCCTATCAATATGCGCAAGGACTTGAGCTACAGATCAATCCTGTAAAGTTTCATTGAAATTGCTTAGTGGTATAAGAGAAGTAGTCCGGACAAACTTTAAAGTTAAAAATTATTTAAGGGCCATAACTCTGCCAAAAAACATTGAACCGGAAAATGCTGACAATAATGCACAACTAGACTTGGAACTGATCGATTCCTGTAAAGTTTTGGATGCAATTGCACCAGTAGTTTATGAGGAGTAGTCCAGACAAGTTTTGTGACAGACAGACGGACGGACAGACAGACGGACGGACGGACGGACAGACAGACAGACGACGGAGAAGTGATCCCTATATGTCGCCACTACTCCGTAGAGGCGACACAAAAATGGATAATTTTCATAAGAAATAAAAATATTAATTTTTATTTATTGCATAAAGTACAATGTTTTAATATAAAAAAGTTAAAACTCTGACAATACATAATTTCTGAAACCTGATGGGTTAAGAAAATATTCATTTTTAAAGGCTTTATTGTATTCAAAAGGATTATATTTCTTATACTTTATACTTTACAACAAGGTGACTTCAAACAAAGTAGCCCCCATAATCTGTTAATAATAGGCACATGGTACTGAAATTTTCCTGAACTTTTAAACTCAAGACCATGCTATCAATTTGAAGAAGTATGTTGTTTCCCCAGAATAAAGACTACCTTATACAATTAAGTTGATTATGCCAAAGCAAAGTCACAACAAGAGCGATCAGTAATCACATGTGTCGCCTCATGATGGTCAATTTCATGTTGGGACAAATTTTGTGACAGACAGACAGACAGACAGACAGACAGACGGACAGTGCACAACCAGACCTGGGGTAATCACTAATCATAATCATTGATTTTTTAATTGATTACATGATTACAGTGTAATCATCATGTAATTGATTACCTTGCCCAAAATTGATTACATTAATTGTAATTAATCAATTACAGCTTAAATTCAGTCTGTAATTATGATTACAATTTTGATTGATATTGATTACTTTTCAGATTTTTACATGAAACTAAAATTGAATTTTCAAATGATTTATTTCACATGTTACAGTTTTAACTAAGGCAGTAAAATATCAAGTGAGACATTTTTAAAGACATCACTCACAATGAAGAAATAAGTTTTAATCCAAACGTTAACCAAATTCTAACTAAAAGATAGACATCATTGTTTGGCTGGTATTCTAACCAAAAATGTCAAAATCATTGGGATTTATTGATGTTTTGAATTTCCTAAAAACATCTGGCGAAAATGTGACAGCACAGTGCAAATTGTGCCCTAAAAAGATAAAATAGAAAACACTAAGTCACATTCAAAATTTTCATTTCCCACATAAAGGTATGCTAAATTTTGTTTCACATATTTTGGTTAAACCTTGTTTTTAAAAGTTTCAAACCAATGTAGTTACTTTGTATTATTCTAGAGTTAATGTCAGATGCATATTACCCATATTTTAAATTATATGCAACAGTTTATTTTGTAAGGTGATAGACAATGTGGTCTATATTATAATGGTACTGTTGTCCATTGCAAAGTGTTTGTAAAAAAAACTGATAATTTCTTTGAAAGTCTATTGTCTCTCTTTGAATTCCCATATAAAAAAATTTATTTTTTCACACCTGGTTTTAACACCTATATACAGTATACTGAACAATTGACACTTTTAAAAAAATTTCTGTTGCAGAAGTTCATTATGAAACCTACACCGAAAGAAGACTGAGGATCCATCCCCCCCCCCTGCATCATTGGCCCCTGTAGAGCGTTTGTTTAGTGTTGGGGTAAATTTTTCCGTCCTGATAGATGCAGTCTGACCTGATAGGCGGTTTCATGAACTTATATGCTAAAGTGCAATGCTAAAATACGATAAAGTGATTGTGACAGTAACTAAAAGTGTGGTTAAAATGATGACTGTTGATGAGCTTGGAAATCCCCTTTGTTGTATATATAATGTATATATTAAATAGCATTAAGAAACTTTTGTTTATAGTTATACATGGAATGTAATCAATTATCAATCAATTACTTTCTCAAAAGTAATTGTAATTTAATTGATTACAGAGGCAAGTCTGAGTAATCAATTGTAATCAATTACAATAAAATCTGAAAGTAATTGTAATTAAATCAATTACTGATCAATGTAATCATCCCCAGGTCTGTGCACAACTAGACTTGGTACTGATCATTCCTGTAAAGTTTGGATGAAATTGCACCAGTAGTTTATGAGGAGTAGTCCGGACAAGCTTTTGCGTATCTGGCAACACACAGAAAAAAATACTTTTTATCAAAGGGCCATAACTCGGCCAAAAATCATTCAACCGGAAAACCCGTGCAATATGCGCAAGGACTTGAGCTACAGATCAATCCTGTAAAGTTTCATTGAAATTGCATTAGTGGTATAAGATAAGTAGTCCGGACAAACTTTAAAAATTATTAAAGGGCCATAACTCTGACAACAAGCAATTATCATAGTATTGCAAGCAATCCATAAGTCCCCTACCGGTAAGAGCCAAAGCAACATTCTGAAGGGCCATTCATTTATGTTTCTATTTTAAGTAAATTTGTTGAAAAAGTTCTTTAAAAGTGATCACAGTGAACAGTTTTTATGTACAGACAGACAGACAGACGGACTGAAGGACACTCTAAAGTTATTTTTTAAACATCCCTGTCATCAAAATATAACATTTTTAAAAACAAAAATTAAAAAAAAAAGGAGATAACAATGTCATACATGATGTGAGTGTAACAAAGAACAATTAGTAATGAAGGTATGAATATTGAATGTTTATTTTGAATTTGAAGTAAATGAAAGTTAAAAGAACGAATAGGAAAAATTAAAAGTTTAAGGAGGAGATAATTCTGGAAATATGGATGCTAGATTTATAAACCTTGTCATATTATTATGATGTGGGAGTTTAAAGAAAATCCTATCATGATTGTAGAAGTTGGTGTAAAAATTACCAATTTCTCAAAAAAAAGTTCAAAAGGGGCATAATTTTGGAAATAGTCTTGCTAGAGTATTGAACACTCACAAATGTTGAGTGATAATAAGAAACATTTATATGAAGTAGATACGTTCAGAAAAAAAGAAGTTATTAAAAAAAAAAAACAATGTTTTTTTCATGAAAATTTTAAGCTCAAGGGAGGTAATTCTGATAAATTTTGTGCTAGAGTTGTAAACTTTGTCAAATATGATGTGGTTGATGACTAGCAACTTACATTTAAAGTTTGAAGAAAATACCTTAAGAAATAAAGAACTTATAGTGAAAAAACTTAAAAACTAGAATCAGAAATCATGATATTCAGTCTATTTGTTGCCATAGCAACCAGAATTTTCAATACAGGAAGATAAGAAAAGAATGTGCATAATTTCCATACTGCCATCTACCCATATGTCAAGTTTCATAAAAATACTTTCAGTACTTTTTGCGTTATCGCTGGATCCAGGTTATGTGTAAAATTTGCCATATTTTCAGTCTAGTTGTTGCCATAGCAACCAGAATTTTCAGCATAGGAAAAAAAGAAAAAGATGTGCATACTCTCCATACTACCATCTATCCATGTGTCAAGTTTCATAAAAATATTTTCAGTCCTTTTTGTGGTATCATGGGATCCAGGTTATGTGTAAAATTTGCCATATTTTTAGTCTATTTGTTGCCATAGCAACCAGAATTTTCAACATAGGAAGAAAAGAAAAAGACGTGCATAATCTCCATACTGCCATCTATCCATATATCAAGTTTCATTAAAATATTTTCAGTACTTTTTGCGTTATCGCGGGATCCAGTTTTGTGGACGGACGGACTGACGGACATACTTAGCAGACGTGTTTGTGGGGTTATTCCTTTGATCTCTTAACCCCACAAGAGCAAATTTTTTTAACCCCATAAGAGCATTTTTAACCACATAATACATGTCTCTACGGAATGAACCCCATACAGAGTGCCTGTACATAAACCTAAACCTCATAATGTAGCTCTCGTCTGCTCGGACGGACAGACGGACGGACTGACGGACGGACAGACAGACGGAGGGTAAACCTAAAGTCCCCTCCGGTAAACCGGTAGGGGACTAAAAATCATTGAACCGGAAAATGCTGACAATATGCACAACTAGACTTGGTACTGATCATTCCTGTAAAGTTTGGATGAAACTGCACCAGTAGTTTATGAGTAGTCCGGACAAGCTTTTGTGTATCTGGCAACACACAGAAAAAAACACCTTTTTGTCAAAGGGCCATAACTCGGCCAAAAATCCTTCAACCAGAAACCCTGTGTAATATGCGCAAGAACTTGAGCTACAGATAAATCCTGTAAAGTTTCAATGAAATTGCATTAGTGGTATAAGAGAAGTAGTCCGGACAAACTTTAAAATTAAAAAGTATTAAAGGGCCATAACTCTGACAAAAATCACTGAACCGGAAAATGCTGACAATATGCACAACTAGACAGGGTACTGATCATTCCTGTAAAGTTTGGATGAAATTGCACCAGTAGTTTATGACACAATAAAAAACAATAGCTCTTCATGAAAAGTTAAAACTCCTCTGATAAGGCAACAGCTCTCAATGACCAATTTTAACAACAACATCCCCCCTCCAAAAAATGACTTATATATAAAGGACTATCAATGAAATAATCATTGTCATACATGTACATCTGTGCCATGTCATGATAAACAAGTATTCCAAGTTTTCATGTTAGTACCTATTTCAAATGTTTGAAAAATGAGCTACATTGAAGTTTTTGCAAGACGACGACAACACAGCTACCATAATAGCCGGACATTTTCTCCAAAATACATGAGCTAATAATATGACCCCTTTATGACCCTTGATCTACATATGTTATATTTACAGCTTAGCAATGGTAGAAATATGCTGATAGCTTACAATCGGCTGTATCCAGGTATTTCATTGACCAATCAAGGAATTCTGGTAGTTTTTTCTTCTTCACATCAGGACGTGTCATAAATCGTGACATAAGATAGGCTGCAGCATCACGTGTTTTATCTGCCACCATCAGGTATTGCTAGAAAACAACAGTGAATATGAGCCATGCCATGACAAAACCAACATAATGCGTTTGCAACCAGCATGGATCCAGACCAGCCTGCGCATCCGCCGGAGTGCGCTTTATATAAGTCTTAACTACAACAAAATCTTTTGACCAATATATACATACATACATTACTTAAATTGTATGGAGGAAAATAATCCTTTAACATCTGACTTTACACTATTCTGATAAAAGAGATCCGATAAAAATTATTTTAGGTGACCATAGCAACCACTTACCTTAGCAACATTATATATTTTATCCATGACGGGTAGTTTATGGTCCCCAGATTCTTCTATAACATTACTATCAAGTCTGGATAGATCGAATGGTATCATACAGGCCATAGATAACCATAGCAACAAGATATAGCGTGTCTCCCAGGCCTATCAAAATATATAAAACAAACACATATGTTGCGTAATAATTTGAAGCTAGTAATTAAAATAGATAAACATGTAGGCTTCTATATTAAACTGCATGCTAAACTATTCTCTGTGTTTGACAGTAAGGAAAGGAGCAGAGTTATGTGCCCAACATGTCCGATAATCATAGAGAACATGTGTGTGAAGTTTTAACCTATTCTTCCTAACCTGACCCAGAACTCTTTATTTAAATCAAATATATTAACCCCTTAGCCTGCTGGAAACAGAAAGTGATTAGCCTTTGCCATTAGTAAAGAGACACCAGGCCAGCCTACATATCAGTCCAGTCTGACCAAGCTCTATACTGATTGCTGCAGAATTTTGTATTATTTGAAATCCCTTAACTTTTGAATGGATGGTTCCAAATTCAAAGCTGGGCAAACCTACTATACACATTTATCAGGTTGAGGGCTAAAAAATGTTATTTGATGTATTAAATACAACACAGTTTTATATGGTTTGTGCCTGATGTTTGTTATGTTTTTTTAAATAAAATATGCATACAAAATGAAAACTAGGATCAAGGTTACAAAGAAATCTTTTAAGCCCAATCAAGGATTTGATTGGTCAGAAACCAGTACAGAATACACACTGACCAATGAAAATTCTGAGATTCAAGAATGAACTTGGAGAAAAAGTTTTTTTTTGTAACCTCAAGGCTGTGACAAACAAAGTACGAACTATCAAACAATATTATACCATAACTTCATTTTGGAAGTATAGAACTTGAAAACCTACAATGTATTTTTAAAATGACCCTGCTTTTACATTTTCCAATAATAACAAATTTGTGAAACATTGGATATATGTATTACTACTAAAAAATATGCATATTCTTACCTCAAAGTCTTTAGGATCTTGTTGAGAAATTAGAGCCAGGACTGGTTCTACATCAACCACTTCATGAGGAAATAATCTTACTACTATCTTGGCTCCTCGTAACTAAAATTAAAATATTATTATTAGGGATGGCAACGAGTAACCGGTTAACCGAGTACTCGATCGAACGTCCGAATATCGGTTAACAAAATTGATATTCGATTACTCAGAAAAAAATGTATAATTTCTATTTTATTTGCTATTTAGACATTAAATTTAATAAATGTATCCAATTAGTTCAGAAATTCGGAGATGTGCATATACCTTCATAAATACCTGTTAAATGCAATCACAACTTCCTTGCAGAGGTGCGAAAATGATACCATAAATTTAATGGGGCGATCAACAGTTTGACACGCGCACATGTGTCGCTTACGTCATCCGGCCTCTTATGATATTTAGTAACCTTTAATTGTGTATCACAGTGCAGTTTGTACCCGAATCTTGTTTTAAGGTAACATTTTTGAAAACAACAAAGGGCCGTATTGCTATTATGATATGATAATTAAGGTAGTATTTAGACCCGGGTAAACTTTTGTTGACGCCGATTAGTCTATTTTATTACAAGAAGAAAAAGATGTTTCAACTGTTAAACATGTTTTAAACTTGATATTGCATTAATAAATATGTTCTAAAATATAATGTCGTTGATTTAATTTTAATTAATTTGTCTCCTTTGCAGTCCTATCTATAGTTACAAATTCTATGAATGTAAATAGAAAACGAAAGTAGCATGCAGACAGTGTTGATATTGTGTGATAAACTTTGAAGATCATTGGAAATCGTCCGAGTAACCGAGTACTCGATCGGAAAAATGACCGAGTACTCGAGTATTGATTTTGGTATTTGTTGCCATCCCTAATTATTATACATGTAAAGAAGAATCAATAAATTTTTTTCTCAACTGTCATTAAGAACAAAGTCAAAGTCAGTCAGTCTTGAGATATACACTTGAATAAAAACAAATTATGGCACTTAAACCCTTAGCATGAATTTCTTTGAATTTTGAAACTACAGTATTAGATTTTGATTTAATAAAACAGTCATTAATTTATATGTGTATTAATTACAGGGTCGATGTGACTTAGCGTGCAGTTTTTGTCCGATCAGGGTGTAAACTGTTTTTAACTCGCTGGTTAAAAAGTGACCAGTGTCGTATTATTTATGCGATGTTTACATCAGTGAATTATAGGGGGAGTATGACCAATGGAGCTGCATATAATGTCACACAAACATGTTAATTGCAGTCAATTATCGGCAGTAACTGTGTTAAGCCAAGAGACGTGTTCTATACATGTAGTAAGCAAAACAGTGCGGTGATTAAGTGAAAGATTATTTTGCATTACTTTTTTTTTTACCAGAAAATGAAAATCAACAAATTTAAGAACCCACGTTTTAATAAAACCACGAAATTTCATACCCAAGAATATAAATGATTTCACAGTATTACAATTATATATACATGTATATGTATTTGGTTGATAAATACCTTTGTTATAAGATAAAGGAATTTAAATGCAAGATGTTGCAATGGTTGAGGGGAGTTGACATTCCTTCCTATTGTTAACAGTTTGTTCATCAAGTCCTCTGAAATTATAAAGGTAACATTTATATTGTATATGAAACATTTATTCCTCTAGCATGTCAAAGAAACCTTTACCCCTTCAAATTAGTACAATATAATTTTTACCCTCTAAATCTAAGTAACTTTTACCCCTCTTTATCAAGTAACATTTACCATTCTAAATCTAAATTACAGGTCTATATGTTATCTAAGTAGTTTTACTCCTTTATATAATATATTTAGATAACCTTTCCATCTCTAAATCTAGATACCTTTTATCCCTCTTAACTTATCATAGTTATACCTTCTATATCAACATACTATAGCATATGTAACTTATATGTCCATATATCTGAACAGTTATAAAATAACAACTTTTTCTGGCATTCTTTGTAAAACTGAAAGAATCTCTATTATGCACAGTCAGTCAATTGCAACCTGCCTCTACCCACAAGAAAGAGCAGGGATATTTCCTGGTCTTTCCAACTTGAATATGTAGGTGCATTTAGCAGAAGTTTTACTATATGACTGCCTCCATTGAATAGTGCCACTACAGATATTTCCCTGGGTTGGGAGGCCATAGTTACAACTGGCTGATGAATTTCACATTTAGTTGTAATTACAGTGAAAATTAGAGGCATGTAATAAATGATGTAAACTTACCAAGATGTGGGTCAATAAGATGAGGTTGCTCTTGATACATGTCTATTATAACTGAAATAAATAAAATAAATATTTATATTTTTAAATCACAGCCATTAATTTAAGTTCCAAAATTTGGAAGTCAGAGACTGCAAAATGTCTGACACTTGAAGTCACATTATATAGGTAAAAATGGGAAAGGATTATATTTTGGAATTCACAAGCCAAAATAAGGGGTAAACGACTCCCAAATTTCCATTAATGAGTCCTTTGGGTATTTCCGTGTTGATCTATATAAATTTTCATAATTTTCATTAAATAAGTTTTCCAGACTTTTCTGAGGCCTGTGAAGCAGGGTATCAAAATTACCTAAATTGTCCACACTACAATACCATGTGTACGGAGAGATATGTCCATGATGCTGATTTAATTCAATAAAAACTTTGGTGTTTTAATATTTTATTTTTAACATAATATAAAATACTTCAGCAGCAATTGCTGAAGTTTTGGATATTCTCTTATTCACTCTGCAAATATAAATTATAACTAGTATAAAGAAAATATTACCGTTTACAAAAATTGAAATACATTTAATTACTTAATCATAGAACAAACATGCAGTTATTGTTGATATAAAAGAAAGAAACAAGAGCACTGCTAGGCAGAGCATTATATGCCCGAAAGTATTTTTTTTTTTAGTAAGGATGAAGTATTTATAAGACATGGGAATTAGCTGTTCATCCTATAAAATTTTACAGCTGTAGGTTGATTAATACTTAAGTTATTAATAATGACCTTAACCTTTGACATTGTGACCCAAAAATCAATAGGGGTCTTCTACCCAATATGGATAATCATCCTAAGAAGTTTGAATATTGTGAGCCAAATGGAACTTTAATTATGCTCCGGAAACTGTTTTCAATTTTAAGGTAATAGTGACCTTGACCTTTGACCTTGTGATCCAAAAATCAATAGGGGTCTTCTATCCAATATGCACAATCATACTATGAAGTTGGAATATTGTGGGCCAAATGGAACTTAAGTTATGCTCTAGAAACTGTTTTCAGTATTAAGGTAAAAGTGACCTTGACCTTTTACCTTGTGACCCCAAAATCAAAAGGGGTCTTCTACCCAATATGGACAATCATCCTATGAAGTTTGAATATAGTGGGCCAAATGGAACTTACATTATGCTCTGAAAACCGTTTTTGGTTTTAAGATAATTGTGACCTTGATCTTTGACCTATTGACCCCAAAATCAATAGGGGTCTTTTGCCTAATATGGACAATCATCCTATGAAGTTTGAATATTGTGGGCCAAATGGAACTTAAGTTATGCTTCGGAAACTGTTTTCAGTATTAAGGTAATAGTGACCTTGACCTTTGACCTTGTGACCCCAAAATCAATATGGGTCTCCTACCTAATATGGACAATTATCCTATGAAGTTTGAATATTGTGGGTCAAATGGAACTTAAGTTATGCTCCGAAAACTGTTTTCAATTTTAACCCATTACTTCATGAGCATTTTGTGAAAAATTGCTGTTTTCATTGAAAAGTCTCCCGTTACAAGTTCAAATTGCTATGAAACTACAAAAACTGCTTCAATACTAATCAAACTTGGCACAAGTGTTTACTGGACCATTACCTTTGCAACAACATGCTCAGGCTTAAATTTTCTGTTACCATGGCAACGAGGGGACATCTCAAAATTGCCAAAAATCATTATTTTGCTTTGATTTTTTCAAAATTGATATCAAAGTGCTGCAACTTCTAAATGGATTGAGATAGAGTCAAATGCTTTTCAGCATTGGTTACACATTACCTAATGATTGATCTGGGGTCATTTTTAGCCTCTCACAGGTCCAAAATTTTCTTGGCGATGAGGGGGACTTCGCCCCCTTCAAACCCCCCAAACAGAAGGGGCGTTTAAAGGCGTATATATTGGGTAATTGGTTAAGGTAATAGTGACCTTGACCTTTGAACTTGTGACCCAAAAATCAAAAGTGAAGTTTGAATATTGTGGGCCAAATGGAACAAATGGAAGTTATGCTCCGGAAACTGTTTTCAGTATCAAGGTAATAGTGACCTTGACCTTTGACCGTGGGCCCCAAAATCAATAGGGGTCTTCTACCCAATATGGATAATCATCCTATGAAGTTTGAACATTGTGGGTCAAATGAAACTTAATTTATGCTCCGGAAACCGTTTTCAATTTTAAGGTAATAGTGACCTTGACCTTTGACCTTTGAATCCTATGAAGTTTGAACATTGTGGGCCAAATGGAACTTAAGTTATGCTCCGGAAACAAAATTGCTACCAGACAGACAGACAGACGGACTCCAGGGGGCATAACATAATATGCCCTTTCGGGCATATACAAACTAATGTCTCAACCAATGAACAAATAAAACAAGAGGGCCATGATGGCCCTGAAGTCGCTCACCTGTATATAGCCCTCCCCCCCCACCCATAAGAAGATGTTTCATGCTAAACATCTAAGCTCTAGCTCATTGGGCTTTTTAAAAGAAGATTTTTTCAAGTTTTGACAATACACATATAGTTAAAAGCAATGACACCCCTGGGGCGGGGCCAGTTTTGACCCCAGGGCTTTTATTTGAACAAACTTTGTAGACACTTACTAGAAGATGTTTCATGCTTAACATCTAAAATCTAGCTATTTGGGTTTTTTCAAAGAAGATTTTAAGTTTTTGCTATACACATATAAGGAACATCAATGACCCCCGGGGCGGGGCCAATTTTGACCTCAGGGCTTTTATTTGAACAAACTTTGTAGACACTCACTAGAAGATGTTTCATGCTTAATATCTAAACTCTAGCTATTTGGGTTTTTTCAAAGAAGATTTTTTAAGGTTTTGCTATACACATATTAGGAAAATCAATGACCCCCAGGGCGGGGCCAATTTTGACCTCAGGGCTTTTATTTGAACAAACTTGGTAGACACCTATTAGAACATGTTTGATGCTAAATATCTTAGCTCTAGCTCTTCGAGTTCTTTAAAAGAAGATTTTTTAAGTTTTTACTATATGCATATAGGGAAAATCAATGACCCCCTGGGGCGGGGCCAATTTTGACCCCAGGGCTTTTATTTGAACAAACTTGGTAGACACTCACTAGAAGATGTTTCATGCCAAAAATCTAAGCTCTAGCTCTTTCGGTTTTTTAAAAGAAATTATTTAAAGTTTTTTCTTTTGGTTGCCATGGCAACCAGAGTTCTGCATGGAATTAAATTCTATGAACAATTTTTAAAGGTGACCACCAAAGGAACATTCCTGTGAAGTGTGGATGAAATTGGCCTAGTGGTTTATGAGGAGATGTCATTTAAAGTAAAAGTTTATGGACGCCGGACAGGCGCCGGATGAAAAGCGATCACAAAAGCTCACCCTGTCACTTTGTGACAGGTGAGCTAAAAATAAATCAGGCATTTTCAGGGTGCTGGTAAATGTGATTTTTTTTTAATTTAAAGGAAAAACAAGCAATAAAATTTATGAATGATAAAACTATAAATTCAGTATAAATAGGCAAACAGGACATTTCGGCCCCAAACCAAATCAGCCCCTGTACAAAAATCGGCCCCTAGACGTTTCGGCCCTTTTTCCGCAAGATGTTTTGGCCCGTTTTTATTACATTTTAAAAATATTTACAATCGTTAAAAAATTATAGTGTATTGATTGATGGCACACCTACAATATTTATTTCATATTTAGATGTTGTTTTTTTCAAGGTGTAACAAATTTATTATTTTTAGCTTATAAGCGTTAGTTATATAAAAGAAAACTTCAAAAGTTTTTTAACTTATGTTTTGTTATAATTTCTTGATAATATTTTAAATTATTATTGTAACTTTCTAATTGAAAATCTGTCACTTTTATTGTAAAACAAGAGGGCCATGATGGCCCTGAGGTCGCTCACCTGTATAAAGGCCCCCAACCCCCAACGTTGCAGGGCCAATTTAACCCAAGGGCTTTTATTTGCACAAACTTGGTAGACACCAATAAGAAGATGTTTCATGCTAAACATCTAAGCTCTAGCTCATTGGGCTTTTTAAAAGAAGATTTTTTAAGTTTTTACTATACATATATAGTTAAAAACAATGACACCCCTGGGGCCGGGCCAGTTTTGACCCCAGGGCTTTCATTTAAACAAACTTTGTAGACACTTACTAGAAGATGTTTCATGCTTAATATCTAAACTCTAGCTATTTGGGTTTTTTCAAAGAAGATTTTAAGTTTTTGCTATACACATATAAAGAAAATCAATGACCCCCGGGGCGGGGCCAATTTTGACCTCAGGGCTTTTATTTGAACAAACTTTGTAGACACTCACTAGAAGATGTTTCATGCTTAATATCTAAACTCTAGCTATTTGGGTTTTTTAAAAGAAGATTTTTTAAGGTTTGCTATACACATATTAGGAAAATCAATGACCCCCTGGGGCGGGGCCAATTTTGACCTCAGGGCTTTTATTTGAACAAACTCGGTAGACACCTATTAGAACATGTTTGATGCTAAATATCTTAGCTCTAGCTCTTCGAGTTCTTTAAAAGAAGATTTTTTAAGTTTTTACTATATGCATATAGGGAAAATCAATGACCCCCTGGGGCGGGGCCAATTTTGACCCCAGGGCTTTTATTTGAACAAACTTGGTAGACACTCACTAGAAGATGTTTCATGTCAAAAATCTAAGCTCTAGCTCTTTCGGTTTTTTAAAAGAAATTATTTAAAGTTTTTTCTTTTGGTTGCCATGGCAACCAGAGTTCTGCATGGAATTAAATTCTATGAACAATTTTTAAAGGTGACCACCAAAGGAACATTCCTGTGAAGTGTGGATGAAATTGGCCTAGTGGTTTATGAGGAGATGTCATTTAAAGTAAAAGTTTATGGACGCCGGACAGACGCCGGACGAAAAGCGATCACAAAAGCTCACCCTGTCACTTTGTGACAGGTGAGCTAAAAATAAATCAGGCATTTTCAGGGTGCTGGTAAATGTGATTTTTTTTTAAATTTAAAGGAAAAACAAGCAATAAAATTTATGAATGATAAAACTATAAATTCAGTATAAATAGGCAAACAGGACATTTCTGCCCAAAACCAAATCGGCCCCTGTACAAAAACGGCCCCTAGACGTTTCGGCCCTTTTCCGCAAGATGTTTTGGCCCGTTTTTATTACATTTTAAAAATATTTACAATCGTTAAAAAATTATAGTGTATTGATTGATGGCACACATACAATATTTATTTCATATTTAGATGTTGTTTTTTTCAAGGTGTAACAAATTTATTATTTTTAGCTTATAAGCGTTAGTTATATAAAAGAAAACTTCAAAAGTTTTTTAACTTATGATTTGTTATAATTTCTTGATAATATTTTAAATTATTATTGTAACTTTCTAATTGAAAATCTGTCACTTTTATTGTAAAACAAGAGGGCCATAATGGCCCTGAGGTCGCTCACCTGTATAAAGGCCCCCCAACCCCCAACGTTGCAGGGCCAATTTAACCCAAGGGCTTTTATTTGCACAAACTTGGTAGACACCAATAAGAAGATGTTTCATGCTAAACATCTAAGCTCTAGCTCATTGGGCTTTTTAAAAGAAGATTTTTTAAGTTTTTACTATACATATATAGTTAAAAACAATGACACCCCTGGGGCCGGGCCAGTTTTGACCCCAGGGCTTTTATTTAAACAAACTTTGTAGACACTTACTAGAAGATGTTTCATGCTTAATATCTAAACTCTAGCTATTTGGGTTTTTTCAAAGAAGATTTTAAGTTTTTGCTATACACATATAAAGAAAATCAATGACCCTCGGGGCGGGGCCAATTTTGACCTCAGGGCTTTTATTTGAACAAACTTTGTAGACACTAACTAGAAGATGTTTCATGCTTAATATCTAAACTCTAGCTATTTGGGTTTTTTCAAAGAAGATTTTAAGTTTTTGCTATACACATATAAAGAAAATCAATGACCCCCGGGGCGGGCCAATTTTGACCCCAGGGCTTTTATTTGAACAAACTTGGTAGACACTTATTAGAAAATGTTTCATGCTAAATATCTTAGCTCTAACTCTTTGGGTTCTTTAAAAGAAGATTTTCTAAGTTTTTACTATATGCATATAGGGAAAATCAATGACCCCCTGGGGGCGGGGCCAATTTTGACCCCAGGGCTTTTATTTGAACAAACTCGGTAGACACCCATTAGAACATGTTTGATGCTAAATATCTTAGCTCTAGCTCTTTGGGTTCTTTAAAAGAAGATTTTTTAAGTTTTTACTATATGCATATAGGGAAAATCAATGACCCCCCGGGGCGGGGCCAATTTTGACCCCAGGGCTTTTATTTGAACAAACTTGGTAGACACTCACTAGAAGATGTTTCATGCCAAATATCTAAGCTCTAGCTCTTATGGTTTTTTAAAAGAAGATATTTAAAGTTTTTTCTTTCGGTTGCCATGGCAACCAGAGTTCTGCATGGAATTAAATTCTTTGAACAATTTTTAAAGGTGACCACCAAAGGAACATTCCTGTGAAGTTTGAATGAAATTGGCTTAGTGGTTTATGAGGAGATGTCATTTAAAGTAAAAGTTTACGGACGGACGACGGACGGACGGACGCCAGACGAAAAGCGATCACAAAAGCTCACCCTGTCACTTTGTGACAGGTGAGCTAAAAATGTAATTTATAAAAAAATGTCTGTTCACAATGTATTGTTTGTTTTAATTCATGAAAGTACAAGTATAATTTTTAAATTGTTATATGTTGTTTTGTATCAATTCTGAAACTCGTCACTTACTATTAATTTAATAGTTGTTGATAATAAATGTTTGTTTCGTGTATTATTCTTGCTTTTAAATTGTTAAAATTAAAAAAAAAACATGCTTGTTGATGATAAGCACATAAAAATCTGTTTTTAAAGAGTTCATGTACTATGTTTTGTTTAATAAAGTTAATGTTCTGTTCTATTTGTTTTGATTACTACTATTTAAGTCTCATTCAATTACAGAATCATAATTTAATTATGGAAGTGGCTAGCTGTACGGGCCCTTACGGCTAGCCAAAAGTTCTAGCCGTACCCGAGTCATGTACAACTAGCCAGGAGTCACTGTATTGTCTAGCCGTACGGCACTTTTCATAATTATATGGAAGTTGTACATGCATATGTTATTTTGGGCCTCATGATTATGATTTGTTGTTTTATTTGTATGAAAGGTGATTTTTTGTTAATAAAGCACATGGATCGAATAAATAATGATCGGAGTGGAATAAATAACAAGAGCTGTCAGAAGGACAGCGCGCTCGACTTTTTTAGTGCTTGCCTATAAAACAAAACTTTGACAGTTAAGGGCACACAAGACTTTAACTAGGAATTTCTAAGTACAAATCAAGAAACATTTTCACAGAGTTATCTTCTCTTGCTTACAGATAGGTCTCATGATGGCACATAAGAACTCCAACTTCCAAAGTAATATCTCAAATGGTTAGGTAAAAAAGTGGACAAGAATGAAAATTTTAACTGAGTTTCTAAGTCAAAAAGGGCCATAATTCAAATAAAATCCTTAACAGAATTACCTTCTCCTGCCCATGTTTGGGACCATGATGGTAAACAAGTATTCCAACTTTCAATTTAATATCTCAACCAGTTCAGTCAAAAAGTTGACTGGTACAAAAAACTTAACCAAGATTCTAAGTCGATAAAAGGCCTTAATTTTTAAAACAAATCCCTGACAGAGTTACCTTCTCTTGCGTACAGATGGGGTTAATGATGTGAAATAGCATTAAAAGTTTCAAAGCAATATCTCAAAGGGTTAAGGCAATAAGTGGATTTTACCCATATTCAATGTATTTTCTAAGTCAAAAAGGGGCATAATTCTGTCAAAAACCTTGACAGAGTTATGTCCTCTTGTCTGTTGATGAAGGTCGTGATGGTAAACAAGTATGGTCAGTTTCAAAGCAATACCTCCAATGGTTTTGAAATAAAGTGAGGTGGTACAAAAAACTTAACCAAGCTCAATACACTTTCTAAGTCAAAAAAGGGCCATAATTCTGTCAAAAACCTTGACAGAGTTATGTACTCTTGTCTGTAGATGGAGGTTATGATGGTGAACAAGTATGGTAAGTTTCAAAGCCATACTTGTAATACTTCTGAAATAAAGTGGGGTGGTACGAAAAACTTAACCAAGGTGTGACGCCAACGCTAACGCCGACGCCGACGCCGGGGCGAGTAGGATAGCTCCCCTTTTCATAGAAAAGTCGAGCTAAAAAGAACATTGGAGAAAAAAAAACGGTGAAAAGCAAAAATAGTTGTATAATTTTCAAATACAGAAAATAAATATCGAACATAAAAGCACAATCAATTAATAAGCCTTAATTAAAGTCTACCCAGGAACTGACAATAGAATTTTAAAATGCCTTTCACGGAACATGCAAACTTTCCTTAATGATGAACAAACTTCTATACCGTCGGTAATTGACGCAATTACCAGAGCCCAACAACAATAGTTTTTCATTTTTAAGGTGTCGAAAATTAAACTTAATGAAAAAAAACAACAAAAATCGGATTATCATCAAAATTTTGTAAACTATTTCAATTGATGTTATTTAACTGCGACCAAACGCAATTTTTTCTCAACGTCTTGAGATGATAAAGATCGATATTCATACTTTTTTTACTGTAGCCAACAAGGAGATAATCATTAAAAAGTAAACATACGAAGACAATTGCTGTTTCTTGGTTAAAATCGTCGCTTAAAGTCATAAAATAACATATGCATTTTCGACTTCCATCTAATTTTGAAAATGCCGTACGACTACTGGTCGGGGACCATCAACCTGACACTTTTTGAACATTTTTCTATACAGATTTCATAGTTTTTAACCTAGAGATAAAAAATTGGATACAGTTCAGCTAGGTTCTTCTCCTAACTAACAACCTAGTTTGTTTATTTATGATTGCATTGACACTTATATCTGAGCCTCACAAGGAGTGTATCAAAATTACCTAAATTGTCTACACTACAAGTACAATACCATGTGTCCGGACAGATATGTACATTACTTGTTTTAAATCAGATAAAAACTTGGGTGTTTTGATTTTTGATTTTTAACACAATATACAATATTTCAGCAACAAATGCTGAAGTTTTAGATATTCTATTGTTTACCTTGCAAATGATTATAGCTGGTATATGAGGTCAGGCATTGCTTTCTGGACCCCCAAATTTTAACATCAACATTCTTGAAATAGACATTAAAAATTACCATTTAAGGAGGTTGAAATAAATTTATTTACTTAATTTTAGAAGAAACATGCATTTATTGATGATGAAAAAGTGACTGACAACCACTAAACAAAGAAAATACTGAATTGAGCATTTTCGGGGCCGTCCGGGTTTGGTGGTTGTCCGGTTTTGGTGGTCCCCAACCAGTAGCCAATACAGTGTGTCCTTGCTAGTTGAACGTGACTCACATACGGCTAGAACTTTTGGCTAGCCGTACGGCTAGCCACTTCCTTTAATTATTCATAATTTGATAATTCTGTCTCTCATTCATTTTATTCATTCATTTATTGAAAAACACCCAAAGGTAAGACTTTTTCTTAACTAAATATGTGGCCGATTTGGTAAAGAGCCGAAACGTCTTGGGTAATTTTGGGCCGATACGGCTTGGGTCGAAATGACTCGAAATCATAAATAGTGATGACTAACAGTAACACTATGAAAAACGCAGAATTTAAAAAATAACCTACCTGTAAACCGTTCGACAGCTGTTTCCACAGCAATTTGATCATTGTAAATATTAGGAAGGCTGCTTATCAATCCTTTCACCTCATCAAATTCTTTAAATTCTTCGCAACAAAACCCTACGGGCTCTTCCTTTTCCACATTTTCCGAAGCGTCAGCTGCCATTTTCATTTCTAAGGTACGTTCGATCATTATCTGAGGAATATGTTCTAAATATTTAACCAAGCTTTTGAACACCACTAAATATTTATAATCAAAGCACAGAAGGCGCTGAATTTGTTTGGGTCTTAGAATGTCAGAAAGGTGAAGGTTGTGAGATTATAAACTAATTTGTTTTTGTATAGTGCCACCAGTGCTTTCTAGCGTTTTAATTGTAGTTAATTTACTTTAAGACTAATTGCAACACTGATATTCAATTCAATGTTTATTTGACTTAAACAATTTGAGTTGCCTTCCTGGATTTGAACTCCAGACCCCTCGGCCACGGTGAAGTTATATGTAAAAAACATATTATTCTTAATTAGGGTTTGTAGCCCTTATTATTTCGACGCTAATTGTTGTTTAACACAGATGTTAATAATCATGGAGTTTATTATAAGCATGTATATCTATAAAGGATAAAACAATATTAGAAATCTTCGACCATTCAGGAATTATTTTGCTTGAAAATTAATGTGCCTGTCATTTGACCATCTTTACGCAGTGATCTCCCCTGAATTTTTTCGGCGTTAGTGTACATATAAAGGGAAGTAACCGCTTCAAAAAAGCGGCTCACTTTCGGCATTTGCAATTCACAGCATCAGACTCTGAAATTTCGCTACCATTATTTGTTTGGTCTGACGACCCAAACAAATAAAAACTATTACAATAATTAAGCTATGAAAAAATGCCATATTGTTTCCAATTTCACGTGTCGTCTGCTAGAGAGATGTCATATCTGTAAAAAAATGGAATAGTACATGTACATGTCGGAGGGAAAATACAATGTCGCCGTTCGTAATAAAAAACACATAAATTGTATCTAAAATGAGTTATGTAATACTTTTATTGTCTGTATACAACATATTAAAATTAGTTAGTATTAAATACTATATTTCATCTGTGTTTAAAAATAGTCTAGCTCCGTAAATGAATTATATTTTAGAAATTTAAAAAAAAAAACCTAGAATGAATCTCGCTGTTACAGTAAGCAGACATTATTCCAAAAGGATCCGCCAATGATTCTTTCATATCCCGTTGTTTGCTTGTCGTCTGCAATTATTTTGATCGTCTGTTACTGCTGGCATATAGGTTGTCGCGTGCTCGTCTTTAAGGCTTCGTTTTGAGAACCGTGAAAATTCACCAACTGGATTAGGCGATCTGCTTGATGGTTTCTCGTTTTAAGTGAGCAAATGTTTTTGCTTAAGTTTTAAGTATCCAAAAAAGATACGTCTGTCTATGCTGAGAGCGTAAACTTGATCGCGTACTTGTTATACAAAGGTTTAATGTGGAATAATGCCAAATGAATCTTTTCATGTCAACAGACAGTATACCGGAAGTAAACGGTATCCATAACAATTGTCGTCTGCTGATTTTTTTTGTATTTCTCCATGATGGATTTGTGCAGTTTGAAAACTTTTCTGCAGGTAAGTTAACATTATTGTTTGAACATTTGACAGGCACGCAAATATAAAATTAATAGATTAAGTCTATCCAGTGCATGAAAAGGTGTATTCCTTTAAATGGCAGAGACAAGGTTGGCGTTCGTGAATGCACGTGCATAGTGGCTCTTGAATATCTTACATGCAGGTGTCTCTCTTTTATGATCATTGACATGTCTTTTGTTACTATACGTCACAACTCGGGCTTAAATTTGACACATTCAAATGGTTTCGGATCTGGACATGTCAATGCATTGCTTGCAGTTGAAATATGGCGAAAATTGTCGTTTGTTTTTTTGGCGTAGAATATCATCATGTGCTAAAGATATTGTTTGACTATATTCTTGCAGGTGACTTCTGCTGGAAACATGTAAGCCATATCCAATAATGGCATGTTTCCGGCTTTTACATTTAATAGTTGCTGGCCTAACACCAAAACTGTAAAACCCCTCGCGTTGCACACCATCTCACCTTTGTAAACTTTCGGTTTTTTTACATGTCTACACTGTTGCAAAACTCGTAATATGAACGGGTTCGTTTCACCGCATGCTTTCTAGCTTTTTAATTAACTTAACAAGTTATCTACCTTACCATGTTTCCTTCATCTTACGGATTTCTTTACAATTAATTTCCCTTTCCTCTTCGGCCCGACGCTCCAGCTTTCTGTTTTTCTAGAACGCTGGCATACTAGTAGGTTACAATGCCGTGATACGAAGCATCAACTTCCGTTCCTTGATCAGCATCAACATCTGATTTATTAACATCTTTGTGATGACCGTCTCGAACGTCATCACTGTGTTTGAAATGACAAAAGATTTCACTGTTGTCCTGACAATCTTTGACTGGTATAGCAATTCTGAGATTAGAAGAAAATTGATTTTCATTTTTAGAAAATTACTTTGCAGAAAGATATTACTTGATTCGTTGAAATTTATTAAGATACATAAACGGAGTAAAACATTAATTTGAAAATCGATTTCGGTAAGCCTGTTGCATTAAATAGAGCTTCATGTCCACTATAATACTCTCAAACATCTTTGTTTCTTTTTTTTAAACAAACATTTCGTATATACCTTTTCTACAATTTAAAGACATCATTTCCGTCTTCGTTTTTAAATAGCTGAAATCTGAATCAAATATTTTTTATTCTATCACTCCACGTGAGTTTATCACTATAGACAAAGAAGGAAAAAAAACCGGTGTTAAACTGCCAATAAACACTGGTTAAGGACTACTTGTATATGTGGCTTTTATGTTTTAACCCTCGATTATATAGTTTACAAAGCCTTTTAAAGCAACAATAAAAAGCATTTTTATTTATATTTTCAGTTCTTATAATGTTTTCTTTTCATACAATACCGAAACAATATCTCACATACACTAACGCCACATATTTGATCTATATCAGTTAATAAATATTTGACAAAACGGCGCCAATCCGTAAGCAGTGTAATGTAAACAACTCATTCATAAACAAGTGAATTTATTTCATACATACAAGAATGATAAATGGGGCATTGATGTAAACACTTTTCTATTATTTATTTTGTTTAATAATTTCTATATTTTTGCAACTGTAGGGTGCGAAAATCGAACAGCGTTATACGAAAATCGGCACCGGAAGTTTTTTCCGCTTGAAAAAATAACATTAGTGATCTTCCTTATTTTATCGTGATAGAATCGAAATAACATCGGCCTGAGATGTATATATCGGCTATTTAACACCTGTTTTGTCGTTTTGATGCGAAAAAATTAACCACTCAGACCTACGGCCTTCGATCGTGGTCAATTCCTACGCATCAAAACTCCAAACCGGTGTTAAATAGCCGATATACACCTCTCAGGCCGATGTTATTTCTTAAATATTCCACTGTTAATATAGCGTATTGAAAACCACAGAGCTAACGTCTTTTTTACGCTAACTTGACGCTATTCTCAAAATATGTGCAAGGGCGACAATTTTGTAAATGTTTCTTGTGTGTTGCACATGAGTATCGAGAACGTAATTTTAATTAAGTCATACAAAAAGTTTAACTCATTAATGCAGCATAAACTAATTTGTAAGAGGGTGCATTGTAATGTGTAGGAGAAGGCACGGTTAAACAGAACTTAAGTATCTGAAATTTAACTTGAAAGTAAAAGAACTTAATGAATGTATATTACTATTTGTTTACATGTTTAGGTTAGACCGAAATGCCGTAGCCGTCCTAGTCCGAGGTCCTTATCCGAAAACAGACGGAAAGGGCCGAAAAGTTGTTATTTTAACAAAAGAACACTTGGTTCAATAATGAAAAGGTCAGAGTTGACCGAAGTACGGCGAAAAACCCCGGACAATTTTTCCCGCTTCACACATTATAGGTCACGTGATCATTTGAGCACAGAAAAGACCAGTTTGCGAGGGAACGTCGCACGGCGAAGATGGAAAATTGATTTTGCAGGTGTGTTAATATTGCGTCATTTGATTTTTTCAGGTATGTACAGTACTGGAAGAAGACGTAGAAGAAGAAAAAGAAGAAGCCTGTATGAGGGAGAGTTGCACGGCGAAGATGGAAGAAATGGCATGCAGGTGTGTTGATATTTTGATTGTACTTTATTGTGTCATTTGATTTTTTCATTAGCCTATCGTATTGAATGCCTTTGTTATATGACTATTTATTTTTATTTTGATGATTTGTATACATAATTGCTCCTGATAATTGAGACACCTGGTCGTTTTATTACCCCACCCCACATGACTTGCTAGTTATCGTGTTGATGAAATATGGTTGATGTTTAATTTGACGATCTCGATCGGCCAGTCTGACCAGCCGCGTGACATAACATACTTTGCGCGACATAACATACTTCGGCGTTTTTTGTTTAATTTTTATATTGTTTATTGACAATTTCTCCCGCCGCGTTCTGATTATTAATACATGTATTTTGTGCTTGTCAAACAGGTTTATTTATAAATATATAAAAGGATGTATGTTTAAAAAAATGTGTATACAAAATTTGTATGAAAATTGGTATAAAAATTGGATATAAAAATGGTTTTGGTCGCTGGTGATATATGTTAAATGCATAATGGGTATTAAATGCATAATGGGTATTAAATGCAAAAAAAGGAGTGGAAAAATCGCAAACAATAGTTTAACTGTACAAATGTAAAATAATGAGTTTCAAAAAATGTGTATAAGACTGATCAAAAATGGTATAAAGAATGGGTGTATAAAAATGGGTATAAAAATTATGTATAAAAATGGGTATAAAAGATGGGTATAAAAATTGTTTCTAGTCGACAGTTTCTAGTACGAGTGGAAAAAAGTGGTAATTCTATCGGAGAAATCCTATTAAACTTAATTGTCAAAGGTTTTTTATAGATATGCAAAAAAATTGTTTAAAAAATGTTTATGAATAATTTGTATGAAATGGGCATCATAAAAGGTATCATAAAAGGGTATTAAAATGTATCTGGTCTCTCAGCCTCAGGTTGACTGCTTCAAAAAGCAGGAGAAATCCTGTTAAATATGTCAAAGAATGTTTTTTAAATATTTAAAATAGCGAGTTTCAAAAAAAAAAATGTGTATAAAACTTGTG